GCTGCGGCTTCAGGGCAACAATAGAGAAAAAGGGGCAGGCCCACAACACCTGCCAGTGTTAATGGTAAACATATGTCGAGAAATGTAGAGCGAGAGAGGAGAAGGGGAGGGAGGGAGGAGGAGGAGGAGGGGAGAAAGCACACTTTTTCAAGAGGCTGTGCTTCAGTAGATCGGCTTTGGTTTTGCAGTGTGCGTGCCTGAGTGTGTGTGTGTGTGTGTGTGCGTGCGTGCGTGTGTGTGTGTGTAAATTTGCCGTTTTCTGCAGAGTTGGTTGTATGTGTGCACGGGCCAAGGGTTGATTCCACGCTGCAAGTCAGAGTGTATGGGATATCTACTAGCTCAAAAATGGAATCACAAATAAATCTGTAGCATCAAAAAGGTAAAATGGTGAAAGGTAGAAAACAGCACAGCTTTGTCGAATCGTGCACGATACTGTAGCTTCCTGCACTCTTCCCTCTCTGCACAGAGAGGGTTTTGCCATCTATAGAAGACATTTTCCGCACCTATAAGGGAATATAAATGCATTATACGCTTGTTTGTAATAATATACACAGAATTCACGTGTTGCCGTCTCGCATGGTGCTTAAAAAGATCGGCACGAGTGTTAGATCGCCAGTTAGGCTGCATTTCTATATAGTATGTGGTCAGTCTGTATGAGCTCATTGTGAGCTTGAGGGGTCTCACCCTTTTTTCCCCCCAGACCTTAACTAATAACCACACGTCATGTCTGCCACCTTCTCTCTGACCACAAAGCTGCCCATTATGGACAGACAGGGTTCAATGGCCAGAGTGGACTCGGGCATGATGACTTCTGACTCCAAGACTTCATTTTGGCCTTCATATAGTTATTTAGTGTGTTTTCATGTACAGTTGTCTTTCTGTGCAATATCTCTCTGAACCAGTCTTAAATCTCTTTCCAGGCTTGTCTAGCAGAATTCTCTAGTATCCAGTGGAGTTCCACCCCTTTAGGCTGCAATAAAACTAGTTGCCAAATCTATTGCCACTGGCTGATTCACCTCCCCCCTCTGCACTCCCCACTTTTTTGTCTTCCCTGTCTCTGCTCTTCTTGTAACAGCCAGTTCTCACCTCCTCCCCTCTTTATTGCTAGACTTGTATCCTTTTTAAAAATACAAAAACTCCCGTCTAGCCTTACAGAGCGACAGGGAAAAAACAAAAGCATTCTCAGAGTCTCAGAACGATGACATACATCTGCTTCAGTGCTGATTTTCTTTTAGTCGATTTCGCTTCATTTTTAAAGAATATATCAAAAGTTGTATGTACAGTATTCCCCATTTTCAAAAAAGGAGGGATGTTTCATAAAACTTAAGTCAGTGTTTTGGTATCATAATTTTTTACCACATTCCACCAGAGAATCAACTTTTCTTTACAGTCTGTGTAAAAAGTAAATAGGTGAGCAAAGTTAGAAAAAGCTAATAGGCTTTAAAAATGTCAAATCCATGAGTTGTGCATTTTAAATTTGGTAGTTGGGTGTGAGGCCAGTTTGTACATTTACTTGACTTAATTAGTCCAACTAAAATGTGAATTTGTAAACACGTGGAAATGTTAATCCTACAAGCATGATAGAATTAATTTCCTGAAGTCCGATAACCTGTCAGAAGTCCTGAAGTAACAGATCCTGATTTTGCAGGTGGACCTTTGAACATTTAATGTGTTCACTTGGAGTCAGTCTTGCTTAAGCACTCTGAATATGCTACAACATCCCTCTACAAGACTTTAACCCAGAAATAACACAGTAAGCTTTAAACAGAGGAAGAATAGGCTGATACAAATAGTAAAAGAAATAGTAAAGTGGACAGTATTTCTGAAATGTACAAAGCTGTAAAGATGTCAAATTTACTGCTCATCATGTTACTGATTTTAACAAACATAAGAGATTATCTTAAGTGTTTGTCAGGTGTTTTTATCTGCAATCTAATAGGTCATCTGGAAAAGGTCTAATAAGCAGAAAGGGAAAAAATAGTCTCTTTTATAACAGTCAGACCTACTTCAGTCCATAAATTGATTTCGCTCTCATGATTGTAATCTTAGGCAGAGCGAGTAATTTAATTAAAAGGCTAAATCTAATCTTAACTATGTGTTTGATGGTAATGATTGTCTTGAATGAGGCTCCCTGCCCGGCTAGTGATACAAATGCACCACAAGGTGCATTGCATCAGAGAGAGTTGTCGTTTAAGGGGAACAACGTCTTTGAAAATGTGGTCATTGACTGAGTAAAAAAAAAAAAAAAGTACAAGGTCTGTTCCTGCTTCTGGGCATCTCTGTGGGAGATCATACATCATACAGTTTCCTGCAGTGATGCTGTTATTAGCTTCAATGTTGATTTTGTTAGATGACATAAAACGAGGCTTTTATTAGAGAAGAGCAACTGTCTAAACTTTGACATGCAAACGTAGTGACTTTTTTGCCACAATTTCCGAGATGTTTGGACGTCTAACAAAAGAAACTGGCAGATATGTGAATAAGAATAGCTTCTTAAGGAATTCAACTGCATTAATATAAGCCAATGATAATCTTTTGATGTATGACACGAGTCATGCCACCACCGCAAAAACTTCTGCTCGAATACCAAATATATATCTTGATTTGACAAGTCAAAATGTGAGTTTGTTGCTTACTTGTAGATATTTATTTAGGCTGAATTAGCACTTCATTTTTATCATGAAACACTTTTGAAAAACAGAAAGTTTTAAACAAAAAAATTTCAATACATTTATACTACATTCAGTGTTGATTTGAAAAAAAAAACTATTTTTAGAAGATATGCTGTGTAGTTTCACAATTTTTTATATACACAATATGGCATCAAGATGGGTCTCCAATCGGTAGATTGAATAGGAATTAAGAAAATAAAATGTTTGATGTATCTGTTTAGACAGCAGTATGTCAGAAAATATGAATTCACTGGTAAGGAGAGAGGGTATGAATGAAAGAACAGAACATGTAGAGAGAGAGAAAGACTGAAAGGTTGTTTTGAATGCGGTTCTGGAAAAGCTTTTGTGTCCTCCGAACCCAGTCTGTCCAACTCAGAACAAGCATATGACAACCCCCCCTCCTCCTCCTCTGTCCTGTATTCTGACACTGGCTGACAGCTCTTGACAAGCCAGAGGATTTTCACCTCTTTTACACACACATAGTTAAAAAAAAGAGACTTTACTCTTGTTAGTGGTATGAACGATCGCTTAACTTTCCCTTTTTTATACCCAAACATAACATGAAACGTCCTAAAATGTTTTCTTACTTTGATGCATTTTTAAAAAAATACTGCAATACTAAACCTATTGTGCTTCAGCTCCTGCAGCCATACTCAAACTACACACATGCACAAAGATAACTTCGTCTTTCCATGCATACATACACACATTCTCGCCTGCTGGCCCTAGAAAAACTCCGAAAGGCTCAATGTGTTAAAAGCATTAGGTAAGCATGGATCCAGCAGTGCTCCTCAGCTGGTATCATATGTCCTGCTTCATTACAGTCTGGTGTATACATTCAGCTGCATCTCTGACCCTCTGTCTATCCATCCCTCTGACTTCACTCCCTCTCTTTTCTCCCCAGGGTGCTTTAACACAGAGCGGGCCATCTCAAGATTTTAGCAGAAGAATAAATGAGCTCTCTTGTTATTATAAATGCTGGCCCAAGCTGCTTGGCAGTGGTGCTCGCGCAAGCCTACCTCCACACAGGTTAGACAAATAGAACGAAACCCTAACACTATATTTGTATTGAGAAATGGTAATTCCTGTTGAAATTTATATGAAAGGAAGGTTGAATCTGCAGAAATCAAAGGCAAAAGTGGGAGGGGGGAAAAGTTAAATAGTTATTAATTTAACTTTTAACAAACTATCCCTTGTCCACATGGGAGAGGTCTTTCTTCCCCGCAGCTATTTTGGGTCCTGATATGACATTAACTGCTGGGAGGGAGCTGACCAAAACCAGCTGAGTGGAGTGTGTATGAGTCACACACAGGAGGACCTGAGGAGAGAGAGAGAGAGATCAAAGCAGTAGGCCGGTAACCTGTAGCCTGCCGACTGTTACCTCCAGCTCTGTCAGAGGCAGCGAAGAGGAAATAACGATACACCTCACATCCCGCAGCTGCATGTGTATGAGGCAGCGAACACACTGAGGCCTTTGCTTCGAGGCTCACCGCAGCACTTGGCCAGCTGCACCACACTTGCCTCTCCATCACGAGCAAGCAAGGCAGGGCTAGGTTAACATTAGCACTTTTCTCCCTTCATAAGCAGTTTATAGTGTGAATGCATGTGTTTGTGTGGAAGATCACAGCTGAGAAATTCCAAACCCCGGCTCAGAGCAGCCAGCCGCTCGCACCCGTGGCTGGTGGGGAGAAAATGGGCTGCACCAGTAGCAGGCAGATGCTGGGTGTGCAAAGTGGGCATGAACAAATAATATTTAGACGTGAAAATAAACTACTCAGCTAATTTAGTCAGCACCTTGACTGAAGTTCGGTCATTCGGGAACATGACAAACTTTACGTTTTTCAACTGCTTAATTAGATTTTAGGGGCTTCGGCATTTGTTGTGAGACTGTAAAAGTGACAACAGAATACAGAATGCGTAAACAATTGTGGGAGAAACAAAGGTGTGAGAAAGAGGGAAAAGGATCATTTAAATAAAAGGATACTTGATGAAAGCTAGAAATAAAAAAGATGAAAACGGAGTAAATGTCCAAAGCTGCTGATGTTGTTATACCTCCCTCACTTTGCCTAATATCCCTCACTCCTTTTTTTTTGCCTCTTCCAAACGCTTTTCTTCAGAAGAGAAATGACTTGTCAATTTTCTTCTGTTTGGAGAAGCAAAACTCTCTTCTATTTCCTGATCCTCATGTGTGGATGAGTACAGCGGAATGTTTATCAACTCATCATTCCTCATTGACTGACTGAGTTACTCTCATTTCTTTAAGTTGCTCCACAGGTATTTGTTATGTCATGGTAAATCTCCGCAATCATCCGCCATATTGATCCATACTTGTTTTGTTTTTCCATCTCTATCTCTCACCACTACCTCCAGTGGTCCTACGCCCTGGAGAAACCCAACACAGGCAGTGTGTTCAGCCTGGCTTGGTCTGCAGACGGCACCCAGCTGGCCGGAGCTTGCGGAAACGGACATGTCATCTTTGCCCATGTGGTGGAGCAGCACTGGGAGTGGAAGAACTTTGTCATCACTCTTACCAAGAGGAGAACCATGCAGGTATAAAGAGAGAGCCTAAGACGCTTCTTTTTTTTTTATCTGACGAAAATCATATCTAGTCTTTATGGGTTTTTTTCCGTCAATTAATCAAAATTACTAAAATAAACTCTGATAAGACAGCGACAAAAGCACCAATGACTTTAAACGTCCATGTTGATGTATATTATCCTGTTGATGTATGTTGAATTAACAAAGCAATCATGCTGGAAATCCATTTAGAATCCTGGTCTTAACTGAAAAATAACTGAGGACAAGCTCCTCATTGAGGAGATAGATTGCCTAAACATAAACCACCAGCACTGTTACACAAAGATAGAGCAGTAGATGCTTCCCAGAGCTGTTACCATATATAAAAGCAGGACCCTTTCAGCGTACCAGTGTGCAGCTTTGCTGTGACAATGATCAGCCTGTCGAGCTGTCTCCTTCACTCCCCCATTTCCTACTCTTTAAACTCACATTAACCACAAGGTAGCGTTTACGTGCAGCGAACACACCCAAGTGCACATTTACATGCACTTGTATGCTCTCAGATCGACACGCACACCTACGGAAGCACGGCCACATGTGTGCAAACACACGTGCGTTCATTGGCCGAAGACATCTCTACCAAGTGCAGTTTGAGCAAACCGAATAAAGTTGGGCCATCAACCATTTATTTTCAGCCCTGCAGGCGCTTTTCTGTCTCCCTCCTCCCCCTCTCCTCCTCCCAGTCCGCTTTAAAAGTGCACATCTGCCAGTGGTTTGTGAATCAGCCAGCTAAATTTACCACCTTGCGGTCAAATGTTTTTTATTCCTGGTTGTGTTGCATGTAAATTTGGATCGCTGGAGGGGGAAGAGGAGGAAGATTTGTAAAGCTGTAAAAATAAGCCCACCTTTCACCTGGTGTTGGAAAAGGCCTTTTCATTCATTTTTAGAGAGCTCGAGGGGAAGTATTTATCTATGCAGGTAAAAGGGAGGGGGGTGAGAGGTGCTCCCGCTACTGCACACATACGTTTTGAAGAGTAAAACCTTCTCTCTCTGACCACAGTCAACCTACATTTAGCTGGAAATGCACTCCGCTGTTGTCGCTAATACGCTCAGCCCTCCGTTTGTACAGCCACTGTGCACCTTTTCCATATATCTTTATTTGTTGAATGTTTTGTTTTGGTTAAAAAGATTTTATGCATGCTCAGTGAAGTTTTCTACAGTCCTCATCTTTTGCCGTTTACTCCTGTCTCTTCCTCTCAGGTGAGGAATGTGCTAAACGATGCAGTAGACGTATTGGAATTCAGGGATCGCGTCATCAAGGCCTCTCTGGCTTACGGTCACCTGGTGGTTGCCACTTCCCTACAGTGCTATGTCTACAAGTCAGTAGTTCTCTTCTTTTTTCTTTGAGTTTTCTCATTTTATAGTCTAATCTGTTGTGGTATAAATTCAGGGTTTTGTTTGTTGTATGTTCACTCTCATAATCTCTATGTTACATTTAACCATTAGCCACGCAAAAAACATGCAAAATGCGCAACTACATTTTATCCAGAAAAAGAAGATTCTAATTGTAGTGATTCTAATGAGATTAATGTAAAATATAGTTAGATTAGAACAACAGTTCAAGATCAAACTGAAATTTGTCCACATTCCTAACTAATGTTTTAACAACATGGCAGTTATTTCTCTTATAGTACATAAACACAGTGAGATGAGTATTTATATTGTTTAAAGACATTGCACCAAAATGTGTCTGTGCTAAAGCTAAAGACCACACAAAGACCTGCAGGATTGATTAGTTCATATATAGGTAAGATGTATAGATCTATGATATATAGATAACGGACAAAGGTTACAATTTGTCCACATGTGAAATTCAGAGAAATTATGTTTTACATCAGGACAGCTGAAATCAGGTCAGGGCCCTGCCTCTGAGTTGACTGCATCACAGGGACAAATGGTTAATCTAATATTGTGCTGTTTTATTCCTAATTTTCATAATAAATTCAGAGGAGTTGTTATGTAATGTCAAAATAACCATCATTCAAACATTGGAAAACATTTGGTTCTGACCCCATTTAATTTAACTTGCCTAATCCACCCCTCTACACACATTGCTGGCTGCATTTGGTGAGTTTATCACCTACTCCAATTAAAGGCTGTTTTATGATAACCTTGATTAAGGCCATATGCCAAAACATGTTGGTCTTTATTTATACTCTAACACATTGGTTTTCATGGTAAACTGAGCCATATGGCATTGCCATCAACTGTTGACGTCTATTGATGGTTAGAGTTGTGGTCACATACAGTCACAATACTTTATAAACTCAGTATCACTCCACTCCAAACTTGATTTGAAATATCAGAAGACACTATAGTCATTATTGCAGCTTTCCTTGAAATGGAAGACTTTTTCTGAAATCACATTTCAATTCTTTTTTGCTTTTCTGTGATACCAGTAACATTTCTCTCAAATTTCAGGATTTACTGCACTGAAATGACGTGTAATTGTAACAAGAACAGAAGGAGAGAAACAGGCTTATCTTTGTCAGAGCATTTTTCTAACTTAACGATTACCTGTTCGTTCATCTGAAGATTGAGCTCAGTCATTGTCACCTTTTCCAGGTCTAAATATGCTCTGATGTACTTCAATGTCTTCTTTAAAATGTGAAATGTAAAAATGTTGTGCCGGTTATTTGTGCCAGCTCAAGAAACTGGAATACTCCTCTCATCTTTGAACTGAAGGAGGGAACAGTCAGCCTCATCCTGCAAGCTGAAAAGTGAGTCTTTCAACCCCAGGAGCAGTGCACAGAGACAGAACAGACTGCTAAATCGTCTGTCAGCTTCGCTAATGCTTCATTACTCTTCACTGGCTACTCATCAAGCAGCAGCCTCACACGAGCGTGCACACACGCACACACACACTGCTCTAGCTTAGCCCTTGTCATACAATAAGGCTGAGAGTGAAACCACTGGGGGAAATTAGATTAATATGGAGTAGCTCTTGTGCAATACTCTAGTTCTGTTTTTGACACTCAGCATGGAGTTAAATAGATTACAGGCTATTTTGTAATCGCGGCTGAATTTCATGCATCTTGTTTAGTAAGTTAACACTGTGTTGATATGCTGTTAATATTTTAGTGACTTGCCTTTTTCAGTTCATTAACTGCCCCCGTCTTTGTTCTTTTACATCTCAGTATTCTATCTATCTGCTCTCCCTAATTCCTCCCCATGCTGCTAAACTCACATGTAAACACAGTTTTCACACAGCAGACTTACTCCACTCCCGTACACTGTGTTTTCTTGTCCCTCGCCACCAGACATTTTTTACTTGTGGATGGAGCGGGTTTATATACGTTCTCCTACGAGGGCCGATTGATATCCTCCCCCAAGTTCCCTGGTTTGAGAGCCGACATCTTAAATCCCCAAAGTGTGTCTCTTAGTAACGACACAATTGCCATTCGTGACAAAAGTGACGAAAAAGGTAAGAGCACCTCTTGAATGACTCTTATTCCGATAAGTCATGCAGATTGTGCTTTCACTATGTCCTTTTTCCCTTTTCTCCTCACCAGTCATCCTTTTCTTTGATGTCTTGTCTGGAAAAGCTCTTGGAGATGGGAAGCCCTTGACTCACAAGGTGGGTAATCCTTTTCCCTTCTTCCCTTGATTGGCCAAACAAGGAGAGGTGGGAATGTGCCCAGTCATGTTGATAAGTGCTGCTCGTGATGGGAGCAGTGGGTTTCGGGAAATGTTTCACAGTTTTTTAGATAAAATGCAAAGCACAATGGGCCTGCAATGCTTTAAGAAAAAGGGTTTTTCACCCATGAGGCCAGGCCCTGATGTATTTAAGGTTTTATTGTGCTTCCATAACAATACGACATCATACCAATAACTGTGTGATAAGAAAAGCATGAAATTACAAAATGTCAGTTTAATCCAATCCTCTCCTGTCCCTGATACTTCCTGTTATGTTCTGAATAAGTGTGCTTTGAATAGTTAAGATGACCTGCTTAGAGGGCATCCTAACCCTTCTGATGAGACTATTGCAATCCAGATTTGCAAAGATGGATAGTTCTCACATGTTAAATATTAATCACATTTTCTTTCACTACACTGGAGCATGCAGCATGTTATGAACACTCAGTGTCGCACAAAAAAAAAAGCTCTTTGTTTTTCTTGATTGGACATCCTCCTTGGCCTCTGTGGTCCCGTACAGATTGCATTCAATAAAAAATTCTCTTACTCTCCAATTTCAACATCCTGCAGTGGAAGATCCCGCAGCTTTTTCACTGTCACTGGCTCATTTGCTCATTTTACCGTTGCTTTTTTTCCCCTGGTTTTTATACACCATGGAAAACAATTGCTCCTGATTACACCACAAAGACAACCTCCAACTGCTGACGTGTAACATAGTGAAGCAGGCGTTGGTAAACTACTGACTGAGATAACAAAGGTAAACAAAACATTTTTAAAAAGCCAGGTCATTTGAGCCTTTCGAGGCAAACTTCATTATGAGGGGATAAGACAAAAGAAGGGTAGAGTAAGAAAAGAAGGAGAGGTAGTGGTAGCTGCTTTTTGTCAGCAAGGTGTATTCCCTGCCAATATTGACTAAAGCCAACTAGCAATGGCCAAAAAGACACAAAGGTTAGAACATTATCGCTTTGTTTCTGTCTTTCATATACACACACTTTGCAGACAGGCAGTTGAGAACACTAGAAGCTTTTTCCTCCTCTTTTTTTTATCTGACCTTTTTCCCTCCTTCCATTGTTTTCCCCTCTTTGCTCCCCTTACCTTTTTAACTTTTATGAATATGTGCTTCTATGTCTTTTTATTTAGCTGGACATAGTGGATATAGCTTTGGATCAATGTGGTCCGTCCACTGAAAGGAAAATCGCGCTGATTGACAAGAATCGCGACCTTTACTTGACCTCTGTACGTCATCCTGGGAGAGAGCCCAAAATCTGTAAAATTGGTGAGACAAGAGGAGCGGACCTGACTGACAAGATCTGCACCAACTGTCCGTTTTTGCATACCTGTGTAACTTGTGTTCTGTTTTGTAGGTAGCATGGTTCACAGCATGGCATGGAATGATTCCGCTAACGTTTTATGTGGAATCCAGGATAACCAGTTCACAGTGTGGTACTGTCCAAGTGTTGTCTTTACTGACAAAGAACTCCTGCCGAAAACGTTGCACGTGAAAGACAGCAGGTAAACAATTCTGCCGTTTTTTGTGTCGCACGCACAACTGGTATTGTTCAACAGAATCATGTCCTACCCACTAGGAGTCAATATCTCCTGTTACTCCTAACTGGCAGGAGTTACAGCGAAAAAAAGTCAAGCCTCGCCAGGTTTACAGTTTTCACCCGTTTGTAAAAAAAAAAAAACAGCGAACATGTTATATAGAGGCAACTTCTTAGCACCTTCCGGCTCATTCCACAAGACTTAACACAGTGAGCTTTACTCGCTGCTTTTTGCCAGCAGCTGTCAGACTGTACAATGCTTCCTGCCTAAAAGCGCTCTGCTTCGGACACAGGCAGGTTATATTTAATGTTTAATCAGCAGCCCAAAAGATTATCAAAGCAGTTTTACACATAAAATAGATAAAGAGTTCTCTTTATTTATATGGAGAGTAAGAGGCTTTATATTTCCTTTGAAAGTAATCCAGTTGATCTTGTTTTCATGTAACTGCATAGATGTGCATTTGCTAATAGGCGGGTTTGTTGTGCTCGGTTAACTTTTTCTTTCACTCTAATCTCTAATCTGAGGAGACTAAATTGTCCGATTTTACTGGAACAATTCGTAAACTGGAGGAAATGATAGCATGATCATTCTAACGTTGCATGCCAGATCACTCTGCCCAGATTTAATGAATGAGTGAACTCCAAATTTAGGCAACTGTGTGTGGACCACAGAGGTGTGAACATCAGAGTATATAGCCCCATCCAGAGGGGTTTCTGCCCTCGGCATGCTTCATGCCCAGTTGGAGCAGTTGCCGGTGCAACGGTTTGGTTAAACCGTTGCCTAAAAGTTCATGTTGCACAGAGCCACCGTGACATCACCCGTTGGTCTGTGCACGGCCATTTTAAAGTTTCACTTTTGGCATTTGTCCATTTCCTTCTTGCTCTTTGTGCTGCCAGAAGTGACCATATTTGGACAAGATGCTAGAACTGGAGCACGATATTTGAAAACTGATTGGACAAAAGTTCTTCTCTGTAGGGATGAATGTTTATAAAGCCTGTTTACCCATGGGGTTGGGGGTCGGGTATCAAATAGAATATTATAATATATTATTATTATGGTGTAATAGTGATTACTATGTTTACAAATCCGGAGCCAGTGAAGGCTTTTTGACTGTTTCTTTATCAATGTGAACTGGATCATGAGCTTACCTTTTCTCTCATATTTCTGGTGTTTAATGTTTCATATTGGCTTTCACATCCGTGTGTGCATAAACAACAATTATTCTTTATTCATCTATCTATTGTAAATGTACAGCTCATGAATAAAAAGGCTTCACTTCCTCAATTATGTGTTTTTATTAGTAAATCTCAGCATGAAGGGAAGCTGCTATTACATCAGTTATTTAATATGTGTGTTTGTCGTAAAACCTTAATTCTCCCTCCCCCATCACTGCTGTCAGTGTGTACTAAAATCCACGTTCTTAGCTCACTGCTCTGAAGCTAAATGAGACATCATGGTTTCATGTATACATTTTTTATTAAGCCGTGTGCATTTGTGTCTGTTTAAAGTGAGTTCAGCCGTGCTCCGCACATTGTGAACTACGTTGGCTCGAAGGTGACGTTGCGCCAAAGAGATGGTTCCCTGGTGTACAGCAGCGTGCCTCCTTATCCTACCCTCCTGTATGAATACAGCACCGCTGCGCGCTGGGAGGATGCTCTGCGTCTCTGCCGCTTCGCTAAAGTAAGATATCGGCACATCGTTTTTCAATGCATGTTGAGTTTCATTAGTTGCATGTCATCCACTCCACTGGATGTCACGTTTAAGAAAGAACGACAGAGTCTGAAAAGAAAAGGTAGCGAACAGGTTTTTATTAGACCTAAACAGCAGGTTTTAATTTGTCTCCAATTAGGCTGGTGACAGAATTTACCGGATCAAGCTCCCCCAGACCTCACTCATAAATGCCCCAAGCCACATGTCTGTGAAGACCCTCAAAACTCAAAAAAGGAACATGTTTTGAGGCCAGTGTGAAACTGTCTTTCCATGGGGGGATGACGCAGTGACCACAACCCTGAAGAAATGGATAACTAAAAATGAGAGAAGGGCGGAACAAGAAAGACAGAGTCAAGAGTTGTGAGAGGTTTTCCCTCGACCCCTCCCCTCTCTACTTCTGGTAATAGCTTGGTGACTGTGTGGCTCTTCCCAGAATCACTATTGTTGTTGTCATTAACCTCCAACCATATGGGAGAAATGACATATTATAGATAAACTTAAAAATGTGACATAGCGTAGATCAGTCTTTTCTGGCAGTGATGATGCCATTCCAGAGGAATGTCGTCCCTTTAAACAGTTTTAAATTTTCTCTTATTTGACTGAATTTATATCAAGATTATGATGTCAGCCAGTGCTTGTCAGTGTTATTTGTTGACTCCTGGAGTGGTTTCCAAATCGAGCTGTTTTTACTGCGATGGGCGCTGGTTTAACCAGACTGACAGTTGTTTACATGCACAGATATGTGAGGCAAGTGTCAATCTTTACAGCCTGTTTTTGTATTAAATGTGGATCTGCCACTTGTGGCTTTATGACTACGATGTGGCTGAAATCATGTACGAGGAGCTGACCAGTTCTTTTAGCTCGTACACTTTGCTTTATTATGAAAAAGACTGAAAAACACATGCTTAAAGAGTAGAGAATAGTGAACCATGTTGAAATCTAAATTTAACTTTATCTGCAATTTTTTACAGTATAGGCCTTTTTTTTCCTCTCTAGAAAATTTCATTTGCCTATTGTGGACAATGTCAATTCTCCACAGGACTATTTTCCAAACCAGGGTTTACTTTTTCAGATGTTTCTGTTTATGCTTGTATTTTGTGATGAGGTTTGAGGTAAAGTTTCCACCTGATGTTCTTTTCATTTTGACTGTGCGTCAGCGCTCCACCAAACCTGTATCAGCTGGACCACCCTGCAGTGGATTTTTTTTTTCTTTTAATGCTTTTGGTCACTTTGTTAGCACAAACTTTAAAATGCCATTTCATTCAAATAGAAATTCAAATCGAATCCATTGTCATGGTTGGAAGGGCATCCTAATAGCAACCCTTGACCTGTTCCCTTGGGCCTATTCATTTGATGAAATCATAAACTTTAAAAAATAATATAATCACTTAATTTTTCTACATCAACGATTAATGACTGCTATGTTATTCTGATTTGATCATTAAAAATGCTGTGGACTTCTGCTTCCTTTATCTTTAGGACCAATCTTTGTGGGCATGTCTCGCTGGAATGGCGATGGCTAGCAGGGAGCTGGCCACAGCAGAGATGGCATATGCTGCCATTGGGGAGGTAAGAGATCTTGTTAAAACGTAATACTGTTGACTATAAGAGGCACGCAAATACAGCTGAAATGTTCGGCACACAATGGTTCTTAGAATGTCAGTAAAGAAGGTTCAGCAAATACAGTTTCCCACCAAATTTATTCTTTCAGTTGCCACGGGTACAGTACATTAACTTTATTAAAGAGCAGCCATCAAAGGAGTCTTCTTTGGCCCACATGCTGTTGTTCAGTGGCCACGTCCAGGAGGCCGAGTCGACACTGTTACAAGCTGGTCTAATCTACCAAGCCATCCAAGTGAACATCGACCTTTTCAACTGGGAGAGGTAAAATCTTGTTTGTGTGTAAATAGAATTCTGTTGGAAACGAGGTTAAGATGGCATTGTGTACGAGCACACACGCTCTACTTCTGTCCAGGGCACTGGAGCTGGCGGTCAAGCACAAAACCCATGTGGACACTGTGCTGGCCTATAGGCAGAAGTTCCTCCAGAAATTTGGCAGGAAGGAGCCCAATAAGAGGTTCCTGCAGTACTCTGAAGGGGTATGTTTTTGGACCCTCGGATTGTATATACTGTTTTCAGTTTTTAAGTATTTCTTATTTCTTATAGTTTCTTATTAGTTACTTATTATTAAGCACTGCATGTACTCTCTTATAAAAACTGCATTAACAGTTTAACATAAATCAGATTTATCTGCAGTTTACATGTGTTTGCGTTTTTAAACATGTCATGTGTCTGTGTCACATACACTCACACAATCCAATTCAGTTTCAGATCAATGTGTTTATATTAACTCAATTCGCAACTAATTTGATCTCCAGGCAATATAAACATGTTTTCTAATTTAGTCCAGTTATAATGAAATTCCTAGTGATCTAATTAAACTGATGTACTGATTTGCCTAAAGTTGAATTTACAAGATTACAGTGTGCAGGGGCCACTGTACATTGGGATTCTCTTTGGACTGCGAGCTTTGAAGTGAAAATGTCATTGCATCACACAACTGTCACAGGCTGTTTGTGTTATTTGACCTGCATTTGTTCCAAAGGACCTTTATTAAGTAATTCCAGCTGTAAATCAGACAACCTCAGTTGTTACAATCATCAGACCATACATAAATACACCACTAGCTCCTATTGACTAAATGCATTTTGCTCACGAAGCTGCTGAAGAGGAGAGGTCCGTGTGTGTCCTCTTTTCATTCGGCCTACTTTTTCCACCTTCATCATCATGCTCCCCGTTGTCTCTGTTGTACATTTGCCATTTTTCAATTCCAGGTTTGCTCCCTTCACTTGTGCTGTCGTTGGCTGCAGCTCATCCCACACCCAGTCCCTCTCCCACAGACTGCCTCAGAATATCAATCAGATCAGATGCTCGCTCAGAGCAAACCACACAAATCATGTCTTTGAGACGCTCGCACACAGTGACGGAAAGCAGCCGATTGATTTTGGATTTTACTCAGTTCTGAACGATCAGTGTGCTCTTTGACAGTTCTTTATACTTAAAATCTATTTCATGTGAATTTGGCTTGATAGGAAAGCTTAAAAATGTAAAGCCACATTACTACCTTAAAAAAGCATAATGTTCTTTTAGGTGGACAATTGCTCTAAGTGATGAACCTCAGTGTTTTCCCTCAGTTTGATAGAAAGTGGTTGTACTTTCATTTCAGCCTCAGCAGCCTGACAGCTGCAGAATCTGATTGACATAAGTTTGCTGGTTCAGCCTTCCAGCTGCTCGTAGCTTTTCAGGAGTCCTTACTTCAGACTTATCAACCTCAAATGGTTAGATGAGTCATTGATGAAAGTATCCCCATGGCCAAAACAAGCCATGTAAACATTCAGTTCAAATGTGAAATTATTCGGAGTTCTGTTTCTCATCTTTTAGTTAAGTCGTTTACAAACTTCCTTTACAAAATAATATGTTGCTGCCAAGTACTGTTTTTTTTTTTTTTAATAGTTTCATGCTGATTAGTTTATCTAATCTCATTTCATCTCATTTTTCTGTCTCTGTTCCAGGTTGAGGTAGACTGGGAAAAAATCCAGGCAAAGATAGAGATGGAGTTGTCTAAAGAGAGAGAGAAGGCTGCCAACGCCTCCACGAGGACCAGCGTGGCTTCCCGCCGTTAGTTTTTAGGCTTTCCAGTTTTTATCGTTTGACTCCGCCTCCATGTTATGCAAAGTCCTCAAATGAGGTACAATGTCCACCGAGACTTAAGCCTTTCTGTGGAAACAAAGGAAGAGACGTGAGGATAATCCTGACAGGCTCTGTGTCACGTGACGCGCTGGATGGTAACACTTCAGATAAACGTGGCGTGTCCCTCCTACAGCACTGAGTCTTCCTGTGTCCAGGCAATATCAGGGTGGGCTGCAAGTGAGGTCAGAAATATCTGCATCTCACTGGAACTTGTGCAGATTATAACCAGCCAGCTCCATTGTGTGAGGTCTAGAATAAGACTGAATAAGACCATCTGTGAATAGGACAGGAAACTATCTTGAAAGCCCACTGCCAGAAAATGTGCTGATGATATTTGCAGCACAATTCTTTTTGCTTTGAATGTGTTTTAAATTATTCTGCTTTCCACTCGTCTTAATACATTTAATACAAACAACAATGCAAGGCGCTCATTATACAGTAATGTCGGTGTCTTATTCATCATTCAAAATGTGCTGTGATCAAAGCAAAGGTTTTTATACACACATATATATATAATAATTTTTCCCCACATGTCCTGGCCTCTTGCTTCTCTACTAAGGAACAACTTTGATTTGTCTCCCACTGTGCAAACGCATCCCACACGGACCATAGTACATGTGTGAATGGGCAGCTAAAAACAGAGTGAAGGCCTCCCACTCTGAGCAACCTCCAGAGTTCCTACGTGACCATAAAACGACTGCAGAGGGAGATTTCTTTGTCGAGGTCAATGTTTTCACTTTCCTTAAATTAGCACGACCCTCTATTGCATGCACAAATGTGTGTAATGATTTTTTCATTCAGTTATGTTCAGCTGTTTTTTGTATGATATAAATATCTTAGAATGTCAAAATATTGTGACCAGGAAACACTAGAACAAATTCACATTTGTATATCGGATGCGAAACAAATATATAAACACACGTTTTCACCAAAAACATTGTCTTTTTGCATATTTTTTGCTTCATTTGATGCTTGACAGCCGAACGTATCTTTATACTATTTCTGTGTTTCCTCCTCTGAGGTGTTAAACAAAGCTGCTTGCCGTGGATCTCCACCCCCTGTTTGGCAGGCTGCCAGTACATCAGCAGACCATTATAGCATATCCATCTCCTCTAGTGGCTCAGAAGGGAGAAGATCAGTTTCAGGGCTCTCCAGAAACAGCCTCTTGGCTAAATCACGATGACGTGGACTGATGTGGTAAAACGTGATCAGCTTAGACCATTAACGTGTGAGTGGCCACAGATTCTAAAGCATAAAAGAAAACTGGAGATGTTGAAAGTCACTCGATGGGTTTTCCCTCTCAGAAATGGGACATTTTTGCCAAGTATCTCTTTTAGTCGCTGTTTTTCTATTACTTAACTCCCTGTGTCTGCTAACATCCCAAGTCCGCTCACTTAGATATAAAACACGGTCATCCAGTGCAAACAACATTAATCTAAGAAAAGCCTTATCACTGAGGAGTTGTTTCTCATGCACTACCACCGAGTGTGGCCACACACATCGAAATGTACTCGTTTTTTTCCCCATAGGCTTTTCTCTGCATACACTATCAAATATTAATGTCATTATGAGCTGTTGAATACTGCCAAATACTTTTTCTAACCTACCTTTTAAATCTTGTGTGGACTTTTTTTTTAACTGAAAATTAAAATTTACTTCATAAGAAACTAGTCCATGTGTTTATATCCCATTGACAGCTGATAACTGAGCGTAGTGACTGAACAAAATCCAAACACCCATCGGCCACGTCACTAAAACAGCGCTCTGCTGGGAAAACCTGCATCCTGGCATTCACATGGACGTGCTCGTTACTCCCCAGCCACCAATCTGATGAGGTCTGACGGCATTTACAGGAAAAGAAAGTCCATTTGACTAAAGATCCCACCCCACAGAGCCCAGAGGATCTATTTCTAATCTCCCTGTGCCAGACACCGCAGGACACCCACAGATGTTCTTTGTGCGTGCCACCAGTGGACACAGCGCCTTTTGTGGCATTATGTGGACGTACACAGGTGGTCATAATGTTCCGGCCGATCTGTGTGCTTCATCATTCTGAAACTACGGCGCCACACACTACCTGATGCACGCAGTTTCCTTGATGGGAAAGTGTTGACGTTTTTAGTTTGATTGTCGAGCAGTGAAGCTGGGATATGATCCAGAATTTACGGGGAGTAAAAAAAGCCTCATTTATTTGTCCAGTATCAACTCTATTTGTGTCCTCTCCTGGTGGCACACAGAAGCTCTACTGTTTCATCAGTAGGCACGACCCGATACACCACGATTAGAGTCACACACTACACATCTTATACTACGAATGTCAAACATGTTTTACCTCCAGCATCCCGGGGTCATATGCTGAACCCCTCGCATACCCACATATGGCTATGTGAGATAGATTTAAAGCTTTTAGGGGCAAACTCCACCGATCCACACATTCCCCTCAGGGAAGGGAAGCCATCAGTGATCACTTTCAGCTCTGCCATCCCAGGCTGGCGGTATTGGATTACCCAAGCCACAACAATCACACTCCAGTCTTTAGAGTGAAGAGCATTAGAGAAGCTCAAGGTCTCTGCATCTCACTGGTGGTAAATGCTGCTACGATGGATAGTTTATCTACAGTTTAACATTTGCTAGAATAGGAGTGTGAATATTGAGACGGATGAGAATGTTTTCTTTGACTGCTTGCATGAGTTGTGAACACAGAGCAGCCTATTTAAACAGTGGCAGTGCTGTGATATATTATTTTAGCTGATCTGATACATAAGGCTCATTATCTGCTTTGCAGCTCTGTCTTTCCATAAGTGTACGGCATCACCACAGATAAGTCAGACTTATTTAGACTTAGTTCATTATTGACTTCTTACTCGATTGGTTCAATTTTTAAGATAAATGTCCCAATTGCAGTTCGTTGCCCCTTTGACTAAGTGTCTTTTATAAATAGTGTGTAATTGTGTTTTTCTAAATTAGACATATAAAACTAATTTATTCAAAATTGTCACCTTTGGAGAATTTTCGTTTTGTCAAAGTTGTAAATTAAGGCTTTTCAATATTAAGGCCTTAATAGACAGCAAGCCATCTGATTCAATGTAAAAATGTAATTTGTGATAATATTACATGCAATCAACATACAAGTGCAATTGAAGCTTTTCTCGGCCTGCACCGTGCTGGAACAAAGACATGACTGCCTCCTGTCTGTCTCACCATGTTTTCTGTCACACGTCTCTGTGCTTCCTCAGGGCTGCTTAGTATTAGTTCTGCTCGGGGCAGCAGTTGTGATCTTGTCTTACATGATCAAAATCCAACTTTGTTTCTTGGCATTTTGCCCTGTATCAGCACGCCAGCCTTAATTTCTGCCACTGTTTCTCTCGAACCAACAACTGCCTATATGTTGCCCCGGGCCACAAGGCTCAGAGCTCTTCTTTTTTATTGTTGTTTTTCTAAATAGTAGGCTACTTTTTTTTACTGTGGCTTCTCAGGGAGCAAACACATAAAACATGGCTCAGGTCGCTGATAAAATGCTTATCTATCAGCTCCCAGTGAATGAGCATGTGTGAATAGAATAATTGCCTTCATGCTGATAAGACATGAACAGGCTCCAGGGCTGGCTGGTCAATATGTGTGCCTCAGAAAGTTTCACAATTGATATTAATCCCTTCTTTCAGTCCACATATACGGTTTCTGAAGGGGGGGAAATCCTTTTTGGATGCAAATTTAATAAGGAATGCATTAAAAACTGAGAGATTTTTCAAGTCCAGCAGAATAGTTAGCATTAAGACTAGGAAAGAGAGAGGATATGATAGGAGAAATGTTTCACGGTGTCATTAAAATTGAGATTCTGGGGTAAAGCTTAATGCGATTGTATCTGGGCCAAATTAGCTGTAACCAACACAAAGCACCTTCATTTTAGTCGCCTTCGCTCAACTGATAATCCCTTTTACTTTTACCCACGCAGCCATTTGCATACAAAAGGCGAGCAAATCCCTATTTTCGTATAAGACACGTACATTTTTCTCAGATCTCTCCTTTATTCTTTACATTCAGCTTTATAATTGCACTTTAGATTGTATCTCCTCTGGATCATCCCCCCCCCCCGGCGGTACCAAATTAATAACACTACTACTACTATATGGTGTTGCTTTGGCCAGCCTCTGCTTTCCATCAAACAGAGTTCCGAGATGTCCTGGGGCTTTGCTGCGGTGCTGTCTCCTCCAGGAGATCCCGTCTGTGGTCCCCGGACCTGGGTCCTGCTCCCCCCCTGCCCGCACCTCCCCTCTCGGTCTCCAGCAGACTGTCGTCGGAGCGGTCCCTGTGCATCTCCTGCATGCTCTCCTCGTACGTGGGCAAGTATTTCACCTCGTCGTAGGCTGGCAGGTTCGGGGAGGCGAACCCCCCCAGGCTGTACTCGGGGTACCGGTCCAACAGGGAATCCTGGGACGCCGACGCGTGCCCGTGGAAGAGGGAGGGCTCCTCGCCGTGCTGGTCGCGGTTGTTGTGTCTGCGCGGCCGCGGGCAGATGATCCGCTGGATGAAGTAGCCCATGGCGAACAGCAGCAGCAGGATCAGGATGCCGGACAGCTTGCGCGTGAACCAGCCCACGTTGTCGAAGAAAACGTGGATGGGGAGCTTGCAGCAGCGCACGCTGGAGCTGGCGTTCCCGGAGGAGAGGGTGGGCGGACAGCACTGCTGGCCGTCGACGCACTGGAGCTCCCCGCAGCTGCGGAGGGCTTGGCAAGCCGAGATCAGGCACGCAGACAAGAAGGTGCCGGTTGTCCTGCCGCCGCCCAGCAGACGGGGCTTCATGTCTGGATCGCAACCCCCCCCCCCACCCACACCCCACCCCAACCTTCCACCCGGATGCGGAGCAGCCCGATGCGCGCCGTTGAGGTGTGCCGTGCCGTGCGCACGGGTGTTCGTCCGCCCAGGTGTGAAGAAGCGCTGCCTGTCTCTCCAACCGTGCCCTGATCGTGTGCCGTCACGAGGGCTGCGCGGAGCGGATCGGGACGGCAGGTGCTCCCCCTCTGGAGGACGAATCCGCCTGCTGGACCGTGGGCGATGGGAGTGGAGCCGCAACGGTGCCTGGAGGGGGACCAGTGATGACAATCATGAATAATCTTACATCATTATCACTCGGGGACATGTCCTCGTGGCCACAGATGCGCACAGATGTGCTGCCGGCCACTTCTCATTATGCAGTCCTACGTTTACTTTTCCCACCCGAAACACTTCAAATGTCCCCCCCCCCAAGTCAGAACAGAAACAGTTTCATGTTTCTTCTAGACTCCTATGGTTTATGTTGACGTGTGTGATTCTCAAAATAATGAAGCAGTTGTAGGACAAGATGTGACAGCTGCAGATGGGGGAATAAAAACAATCCACACAGTTCTCTCCAACACCCTGAAATCTGAACTAATCCTCACACACTGGCCATAGAAGGAATATTTAGGAAAACTGCATTACAGGAACACATATTTAAGAATTAAGGTTAATTTTTAGATAATGGTGTAGGTGGTTTGCTTTACAAAGCTTTGTCCTAGTTTCAGGTACACAAAGTCAATCTAATCTTATTGATTGAGATCAGATGTCCTCATCTGTAAAGTTGACAATAAGTAAAACGTTCTCAGTTTAGCTTATTAAAACATTTGTTGCATTTTCATTTGACCTCCAGCGTAATCTATAGGAAGACAATCCACCTGGGGGGTTCTGCATCCACCCTAAAGAACGCTGTCAAATCCTCCTTACCTCGTAATCTGTTGTTCTGAAAAAAGGCCGACCCAGGCTTTAAATTCACACCCTGGCAGATTCCTGACTGGCTAAAGGGATGGAACATAACCAGGGACAGAAAAAGCCTCTGATAAAAGGCGCCAACAGCTATGCTGTTCTCATAAAATATGGATAGTCTTGGCTGTGTGGGATGTAATGGACCCTCATTAGAAGAGTGTCTGGATTTACATTAGTTCAACATCACCCCAGAGAACCATGTGTCTGTAGCACTAAAAAACATAACCATAAAACTGAAATCTCCAGTTTGATAGTAGTCTCGTTGCACAACATGTTAATTTACACCGAAGATGTTTCTTTGGAAAACCTCCAAGAGTGACAGACGGTGTGCTAAGCTCCCGCACAGGGGATGAATATTAACTGATTAAATACACCACTCTTCAGAATTCCTGGTGCTATGAGGCAGGGATATTTTGTGGTTACATCGATCAGCCAGCATCACTTTTCAAAGAGTTCTTTTGGGATCCTAGCTCATTTGATAAAAGGCTATTTTGTGAGTTCATGAGGGTATATTTTGTGAGAACATGACCGAGGAATTGCAGGGATAAAATATGGCCTTGACAACCTTGGAAAACAGAGTGTTCCTTCCCACCCTGCCCTGTCTTCGTGCCCCTGTTTGTCACTACCAGCTAGCCTGTATTTTCTTTCCTAAACAAAGCCTGACGTATGATACACCAAATCCAATTACAAGAGCATCATGACGTGAGATTCAGTACAAGAGCAGCATCATATTTCTTTCAGTAATTTGCTCGATTAGGGAAATGCGATCATAGGGCAGCCCTATAATCAAATAAACAATCAATAGCCTCCAGACTCAGAAAATCCCCCTTTCCGTCCAGTTTTTGAAGCCTTTCCCCCCTGTGTTCTGATCCCATCACTGACATGTACATGTATTCTTTACAATGTTTAAAAACATCTTATGTTCTCTGCAGTGATTGGAAGGCAGAGAAATGCTGCAACCCTGTGAGTGAAGTATGGAATAAAGAGGACTTTTATCTCCTTCCATTCCAATCCAAGAAAACGATGAAGAACTTTAATCATCCTGAAGTGAATGCAAAGTATAAATCAAAGATGATACCATCCATGCCTCCATTTGTCTTTTTCTAATGATCATACAGATTGGAAGACATGATAATGTGTAAAATTACAGGCCGTTCTCTCTCCTTTGTCTTCATTCTCTTATTATTTCTCCTCAACTCCGTTCTTGTCCGACCACATCCTGCCGCTTTTTCAAATTTCCCTGAAATCTACCACAAAGTGCTGCTCTTGTGCGAGCAAGATTGATTGAATACATTCTCCCTGTATCTCCTCCTCCCTCTTTCTAGTTCTTCTAGGAGCAGCCCTCAGCAAACACATCAAACTAATTGGAGACCAACTGCATCCCTCAGGAAAGAGCGAAGAACAAGCAAGCCATTTTTCTCTTGCAATACGTAGTATTTTCATAGAGAGTGAGAAGTTTCTGCCATGAGATTTGAGTCGTTGATGTACATAGAGACAGAAATGGAGACGTATTACTTGTGGACAGATGTAGAACTAAGAGAGGGTTGCGCTGACACACTGAGAAGTTTATACTCAGTAAATCTGTTAACACCGCCGACACAAAGGCGACTGCTCTGGTTGCGTTAACCTACACAATGGTTTGGAGTTCTTGCCTCCTGTGTGGCCAACAATTAAGAAGAATACACACTGACTGTTCTGTATCGCCGTGATAAATATGCAGCCATGTATGCTTCTATTAATCTGCCACAGAGCTCTCTTGTTTTGTACTTAATAATGCAGTCTTAAGGGGTCCATTAGCCCTGAGCTCAGATGAATGGCAGCGTTCATTTTCATGTGTCAGAGATGTTGATGTACAGCCCGCCCAGCACTCAATGTCACGGTTATCACGTTTGCATTAATTATGAAACAAAGAAAAGCTTTGTCAGGCCTCTGGCTTTGTCAGTAGACCCACTGGTGGTTCTGGATTTCACTTTGTTTTCTCCAGAGCAAAAGTCACAACCTCAGAGTTTTCTGCCCCGAGATGAACTTCCAGCCTCCTTAGCTTCGTTGCATGTTGTAGCAAAAGAGCAATCTGAATGCACGGTGGGATTTATTGTCATAACGTGTATTCAAACGTGCACTGTCATCGTTTTTTCAGTCGTACATATTGTCTCTCGTTGCAGGCGTGTGGGCTGTGTGTTTGACAGACGGTGGGGATTGCTGCATCAGTTTTGATGGGTTTCATTTGCGAGCGTGTTCATACGGTATCTGAGTTTGTGTGATGGCTGTGTGGGTGTCACCAGCGCCTGTGTATTCCCATCAGCTCGAACTCTAATAAAAAGCAGGGCCAGCAGTCAGTGCAGATTGTGCGAATCCAGAAAGTCCCACACCACAGCTATTTCACACCCACATACTTCCTCTAATCTTATCGCTCTGCTGGACGAAGGTCTCGAAGTGTATGGGCTGTGTGTGCTCAGAGCACCCGGCAACTGTATTTATAATTGAGCTTGTTTGTGTGAGTCTTCGCACGGTCTTGAGGCATTTTCGATTTTAGCATCGATGGATGAAACGTGTCGGACTCAGATATGACACACGGGGCCCAACGATACCCCGGTCACAGGACAGATTTAAGTCATCCCCAATGCTTTGTGCGAGTTTCAAGCTTTTGAACAAGCATGTGAATGTGATAACTCCTTGCAAATGTTTAAATTGAAAGCGTGCGCCTGTTACCTTAAAGCGGCTCGTGCCCCCAGCTGGGTGTAGTTTTTGGCATTAGGATGAATCAGAATCCTGACCAGCTCTGACGAGAAAGACTTCAAATCTGCTGGAGAGGGCCAAAAAAATCTTCAACAGAATGGAGAGGGGGTGAATTCCCTTTTCTGTCTCTTGGGAATCTCTCTCAGCACTCTTAGTAAATCAGATGGTTTGGAGGGTTGTGCTGAGCCAGGCTTTTTGACTTTATAGTGAATAACCATATAAGGTTGCTCTCATTATGATCTGCAGCCATAGCAGACTGCTGTTATTTAGACAGGTTTGATGGGCAAAGGCTGTAAGTGATTTGACTCAGCAGTGTTGCTTTATGTTCAAATGGCAACATCATGTTGCCCGGAAACTGAGATCACCTCCTTTCCAACAAATCTACAGACATAACCACCAAACCCTCTATCTGTTAAATGACTTAAGCATTGATAAAGTCTTCATTTTAGAGGGACATTTTACTTTTAATAAGACAAAAGAATCACGGTCCCTCTGTGTAATGGCATCATAATTTCCCTCAGTTTTTAATTGCATCTCACATATATCTGTTTAAACCTCGGACAGATTTAATGGAGAGTGCCGTTGAGTATTCAGGGCGCTGACGCACAGAGTTTTCCAAATCTGCTAAAAGCCCCCAGCCAACCCCAAGAACAACCTCATTTTTACTTATAGATAACCCATTTACCACCCAGCTGCAGATGACTCAGTTATTCACACACATGAACACACACACACACACACCACACAGACACCTGGAGGTTATATATAGGATAAAGTTTTCTCTTTCCCACATGTTTTGAGTGGGGGTGGAAGTCAGGGGATTTTTGACCCCCTGCCTCTGCATTTCTGCGCTGAGTCACTCTAAAAAAAGGAAGGGGGGTGTTCTGAGTCTCAGAAGGTGACTAGACCATAGCTCTCAGCTCCATCTCTCTTACCAAACGCCCACAGCCGATCCCAGGACTCGTCCTACTGTGGCCCCTGAAAGCCCAGAGTTCCCACAGGGGGACTCAGAAAGTAATACGTCAGCAGCAGGAAACGAGGGTTCGATAGATAAAACCGGAGCGCGGGGCCACAGCCTTCACAAATCGTTGAGAGCACGGGCAGGGCTATTATGATGTAGGTAACAAACAGACGGATTGTGCAAGAGACGGAAAAGTGTAAATTGATGTCAGGGGATAACAGAAGACAGGTAGTCCACTAGAAATACTCCCCCACAACGTCCCTGGACACACTGCAGACACTAACCTTTCATCTCTCTGTATATATGTTACATCCAGCAAGCAGTTTTTTGGACATCTACAGGGGAGCAGCTCGTAAGGGATAATGTACTAAAAAAACTCAAGTTGTCCTTCTGGGTGAAATTGGAAGCATTGAAAAGCTTTCAAGAATGAAGCCATGTAGTTAATGCAGAGATATCAAAACACCGAACCCGTCTGGATCGGATCACTCCAACCCTTAACCTTTACTATAGTCTACACGCCAGGGCTGATAGAAATAGATATGGCATTTTAGATGTCAGAACAGCATGTATACATTTTAAACAGTACCATTCCATACATCCTAGTTAGTTTGATCAATGATTCTAAATGTGCTGACAAGCAGAAAGAGAATACAGGAAGTGTATGAACTCAAAACAAGTTAATAAAAAATAAAAAGATTTTGAGTGGTATAGTGAATCTTATTTATATATTTTTTTGCATATCTCAGAACAAAGAGATAACTGTGTTGGTGATAAGAAAATATCACAGGGGACATCTTTACCAAAGATGAAGTGAGATAGATCAAATAGAGGTGACTACAAAAACCAACTAAATTCTTGTGAGCGAAGTCACGTCACCAGTATTTGATCAAATTTCATATCAAGTTAAACTTTTTGCAATTTTTTTTTCTTTTCTCTCTAGATCCTATAATTCAAGAGCACCTTTATGAAGCCTATGTAAACTTTATTTCAGATGACTGAATCAGGGGGCCTCCAAATTAGTTAAGGACTGAGTGACTTCTCTCTGGTTTCACCACGGAAAGGTGCTGCTCTTTATACCTGTTCACCTCTCTTTAGCTCTTCACAGTGCTGCTGGAGCAGCTTTTTTTTCTTTTTTTGGTAACTTGGAACACCAGAGTACATGTGATGTGCCCATCTGTGTGTGGCGTTTGCATGCGTATTAGTGTGACCTGTGTGTCTGAATGATAGTGAGTCCTAGCCTTCCAGGATGTGTGACATCATCGTTTCCAAAGTGGTTTATTGAGCATGAAGAGAAAAAAAATCTCTCTCAAGCAATCCCCACCGGTTTAATGATCCTCACTATCCTGACTACAACAGAACAGCTGATGAACCCAACAAGCGTCCAGCTATTTATTAAGTCACAACAGGGCTTAATAACTGACAGCATTGGTCTATCAGTTATTGACTTCCTGACTGAGCCTCTATTGAATTGGTACAACTGAATCCTCTGATTTTGACAGTGTGATCATTTGGATGTTGTTCCTTTAGCACCACCAACAGGTCAAAGTTTCCATTTATCCCGTGAGACACCTCCACATGCACCACGCAGGTTAAATGTAGGTATATATGTGTCACAATTCCCAGGTGGAGCATCCTGTGGGTTCTGGTGATCCGTTTTTTCCACTACAAGCTTTACATTGGAGGTTTTGGGTTAAATATATCTAAAACATTTATCTAAACATGACAGCAATGGGAATCCATTTTTCTCCCAGGAGTAATTGCAATGACTTTGTTTTCCGTTGTAAGTCGAAATCTTTTTTTCTTCCGAAACTTGATTGTTCGAGCAGTACCTTTTAGACTGGTGTAAGTGTTGGAAAGCAGACAAAGTGAAATAAGATGGTTGCTATTTGCTCATACCACCACTGTGCCTTTCAAAAGGCTTAGCTGGCTCGTGGCTGTAATTTTCTTCATGTTGATCAACATCCAGTGATCTGGGAATAAATCTTGTCCTCGTATTTGCACCTTAAATATGAAGTTTAAACACTGAGCGTAATTCCAAATGTTTTAAAATAACTCATCTCATATTTCTCCTGGCTTTTAGCACTCCCCTTCCATCCTCCTGACCTTCTTTGCCCTTTCTCTCATTCTTTCCTCTTTTACCCTGCTCCCATCTTATCTCCTCTGATTTCCTGAGCCGTTGGGGATATTGTTTCAACCATGAGTCTGTTGTTGTGCTGTCTCCTCTCGCTCGGAGGAGCTGATCTCTCCCTTTGGACTCTCAGACTTGGATAATGTCCCCCGTTGGTCTGCAGTATCTCTCCCACTCTCTCCTCTGCCGCCTGCAAACTACATATCCATCCGTCAAGTTGGACAAGTGGCCAAAGGGAGGAGAAAGGGAAGAGATCAGTGAGCTGAAGATCAATAGGAAAGCCTTTGATCCTTCACTTAGTCCTCCCACTGGTCATCTCAGACACTCAAGACGGCTTTGCCTCCCTCATTTGATTTTTATGTAGAACAATGTTGCTCATAACGGGCCTTATTTGATTCCTTGGACACTTCACTTTACATATGTGGTATGTTTATGTTGTTATCTGTCTTCATATCATTATGATGAGTCAATTTTGAATGTGTCTTTTGCTGAGACAAGAATTCTGGATGAGACTAAGTGTGAGTTGTTGTCTGTTGTGCCCTCTGGTGGTTCCTCCACATAACGCAGCCTGCAACGTGGTGTGGATTTTATTTTCCCGCCTAAAGTGACCTAGTTGCACTGGTGGTGGCTGCCCATTTATTTATTTATTTATTTATTTTTAACTTTTGGAGAATATTTCTAGCCAAGAAAAACTCGCAGAGTATTTTGCGTAAATCTGTGAAAAAGCACAGTAAAATTAAGCTTCTTCTTTTTGTTTGCATGAAGTCTACAGTCACTCCTATTTGTCCCAGGACTTGTACATTGCTGTTTAAACCTTGAACTCTTGCAGAGGTGGAGAGAGGTGTGGTGGATGTGGGGGGATGCATCCATCAGTGGTTTGCTGTAACCCTTTGTTATTCTTTTTAAACAATTGGAGCCTTTCCCCCCCGACGTGCAGTCTCTAGTGGGTCACAGCAAGCACCTATTTCAGACCCAATGGGCTGCGTCGGATATGTTAATGATATACTGTAAATCTTTTAGCACATCTTTGACAAAGGCCGTGCAGAGGGCGGGATGCTTCCCTCCACCCATCCCTGCGCCGTCACCTACTGCGCTGCGCAGCTCCGCAGACCCACAGCGCTGCGTAAAACTGCGCAGTAGTGACATTAACGCGCCGTAGTAGCGCGCTCTAGTCAACTGGGGTGTTTTTTTGTTAATCGGCAATACACATTGTTTGCGAGAGGAAACAACACGCTATCTTATTTAAAAACAAAGAGCCCGCACCTCGTTCCCTTTCCGGATTTGGGGAAACTACGATCGCGTCTTTTTTGGGGGATCAGACTGAGATGTTTTGAATAAAGGATAGTGAACTCTGCAGTATTTTGATGTGATGTTGCTCAGCCACTGGGGCTCCGATGAGATCGCTTATCACCGCTCAGCGCCATCAACGAGATCCCGGTAGTCCATGAGGGCATCGCGCGTCCCCTCAGGTGCTTTTACGCAGAGAGCTCACAGCGTAACGGAGCTTTGGGAGGAGGCGGACGATGGTCGCCGAGATGGCGAGCTACGGAGCGGCCTGCCAGCTGGAGGATGGGTAAGCTTTCCCTTTTCAAACAATTGATTGTGGAAGTCTGGCAATGTCTGCGGTGCGTTTTTTTTGTTTTTGTTTTGTCTGATCGAGGACGCTTTCGTTTAGGTCCGCGCGTACGGTGGATGAAGCACTCCGGAAGTGGTGTCCTTTTGTTACTTTCGAGTGTGGGTTTATCTGTTACTGCGTTTAGAACAAAAAAAAAGCTGCGAACGCATTCACTGTAGACTCTCTCTAGTTGTGCAAACGGAACTGAAAGCAGATTAAAAGAGTCGACAGATAGAGTTGGGGCTCTTTGTCGGCGTTCCTCCGGGCTGCACGCTGTTTTGTTGTTACACAGGGGTGACTCACTGACAACAAGCAGGATGGGGCTAAACTTGTGGGATGCTTCAAGTTATATGACAAACAAAGGCAAGAAGAAAGCAAACGCGTGCCTGCAAGCACAGCCACCGAAATACAACCCGCTGCTGACAGTTTTTCTGGAGCATGTGTTAATACCCGCAGACTGTTTGGAAATAAGCTCCGGGCCCTCCTGCCATTGATATGACTTTGCGTTATGAAGGATGGAAAGTTGATCCAAAACAACCTGAACCACAGACAGGTGAACCGATACCTATGAGTCACACTCCTATGTGATGCCTCTGGCTTTTGTTCACGTGGTGACCTGAATGGGAAAAGAAATCCCCTGCTCACTAATGGCAATGTCATCAATGGCTTTTGTAAAACCTGACATCTAAATAAAGAACTATGAGCCTTTGGAAAATCATGTAAAATGAAAGACAAAGCAGCTAAAAGCATTTGCAAGCCTACCAGTAATTTTAAAAAAGTGGGTCATGATCTAATTTATACATAATTGAAAAGCTTGAGAAAACTAAGGATAAGAGCCGGGGTATTTTTTTCTTTCATTTTCTGGTTCTGTGGCAGCGTAACTGACGGCGGTTTGTCTGCTCACAGATGCTCCCTATCAGCTCTGTGCATGGTGGCATGAGGGAGGCTGAAAAAGGAGGGAAACGTGTTGGATATTTGAGCAGAAAACAACTGAAAATCTCACAGAACAGGGAAAAATAACAAACACTGTTATATGAAGTCGAATGCAGGGAACCCATGCAAGTAGCTGGTCTGAAAATATATTCTACCAACCAATGGTTCGTGGGGAGATGCGATTGCTGTCCCACAAAGCTAAATTGCTGTGGTCCTGATCTTGTCCACACCCCACATCTGCAGCGTATTGAATGGTGGCGTCTGGCTGACACAGCCCCCGTTTGCCAGATCATGGCCGTAGGCAAACATACAAATATATCCAACCAAACAAAACCAGTTTGTGTTTATTCTGCCACACACCTAACAGGTTTTCAGCTTTGAATAAGGAAATTTGGCATTTCTGCTCCTGTTCGACAAAGGTGGCCTTTCCACACATGATTCTAATAAATAAAAAATATTCTATCTGAGCCACAGTTATGTTGGATACTGGAAAAAGATTTTTCTGACCAGCATCTAGAAATGATGGCTTGAGGACGAGTTGCCAGAAGATAAAGTCTGAGGGAGTTTATTTTCCCCTGAAAAAATCCACACACTCTCAGAGCCAAGTTTGCCCACAGGAAGAGACGGTTACCACGGCAACTAATAAGCCTCAGTGCCGTTGAGTTGTGTCTGTCTGCCAGAAGTGCAAACAAGCTGACCTTGAGAAAGAAAAAAGCCGCGTTTCCTGGACAGATGTTGCAAGACTGAGGAAACCGCAGCTCTTTATCAGAACCAATCAGGTGCCAGTGGAAACGCCGCAGCCCTAAATTCCACATTTCCTTTGGATCGCGGAGCTTTATGTATTTTAACAACAAAGAGGAAACAGGAAGAGACGGGGATGACCTATTTTTCACGCCTGCAGGTGGTGAACTTGTTCTTCTAGTAGGGTTGGGGATATGTTTTTCCCCTGCTGGATCTCAGGCGTGTTGCCTCTTGTTTGAAACCAGAATGCATCAAAAGGTTTTTTCCAGTCAGTCCTCTGTTCAGGAACAGGGATCATAAACCTTTTGCCATGTTTGATTTACTATATCTGTGGAGATGTGGAAACCTTGCACAGGAAAAACTACTAATGAGGTCATGTGAATGGTGACACTACTTGTAAATGGCTAATATTCCAACAGTATCACGCAGGCAGCATTCAGTACCAACACGCTGCCAAAGTCAACCAACACATGGTCACATCTCAAAATGAGATCAATGATACGCTGGCCGTAATGGGGGGCTCGTTTTGTCTTGGGGGGGGGGGGTGACCTGCACTCCTGCTCTGACCATTCGTCGGTTTCAGCTGTGAGCGTGGGCCCACGTTTCCTGCTTCCCCTAATTTGCTCGACGGTACGTGTTCCTGTTCACAGGCAGAAGTGCAGCTGCACAACCCGACTAACCACAATCAATTTCACCCTCTGTTGAAAATCCATTTTCAGTTTGTGTCTGTCTGAATTTGATCTCTTTTTTTTTTTCCTCTATAGAGATGGAGATATCCCTGCGCCAGATCGTAAAGGTAGACATCCACTCATTTCTTAGTCCCTCCTCTGCACACTTCACTCTGCTTTCGCTTTCTCAGGGTGCCCATGCAGAGTTACATCAGCGACAATGTCGCGCTTACTTGCTTTCTTTTTTTTTTACCTTCCTTGTTTCCATATCATTTGCATGAAAGGCAAAATTTATGCAGAGTCATGCAATGGCTTCTGCTTTCAGCGGTGGGATTAATTTCCTCTTCATCTTGAGAAGTTTTTTTAAAATGTTGTTATTCTTTAGTTGAGTCAAAATGTTTAAATAGTGGCTAAAAGGCTTTTGCCAGCCTTCAGTTTTGTTGGGAATGGCCCCACACTTGCAGATATTCAAATGTTCAGCATCAGTTAGAGACGTTTTCAGTTCTTATCAGAAACCCTGTGCTGGGTTCAGCTCAGAACTCCCCGGCTGGAGCAGAGAGTTTTCAGATTCACAGGAATGGAGGCAATCTTTCCCCTGGAAGTCTGAAATGCCAGTTAAAAACTAATTTGACAACATGTTCTAGTCTAATGATTGTGGACAGTTGTGCTGTGACTGGTTATTTTTCCATCCTTTCTTTTTTTGATAGTGTACATTTACAATGTATCTACTCAAGGGACTGGAAATGTGAAATGATGGATTTTTTTGTGTAGAAAAAGCATACTTCTTTGTGACATAATGCAGCAGTGGTGACACAAACTCCTACCTTTGTAAAAGGCAACAGGATGAAGAACAATTTTTTTTTCTTGAGTCACCATGAACCTATTAACCTCTTGCAATTTGCTGTAATACAAATTTAGACCGGCAGATGGCAGGCTACCCACATCTTTGAACCCCGCTTGCCTGCACATGCATGTGTGTGTCTTTCAGGGTGTTTGCTCGCTCTTGTTGTCAGTCTGATGAAGAAGAGGGCCGCCTACTGGCTCAGCTGTGTGGCGGCTGCCGCACAGTCGGAGACAGAAGGCGTATGAGGACGAGGAAGCGGGTTTGGGAGAGTGCAGGGAGAGGTGAAACGGGACAGATTGAGCAAAGTGGAGGGGTAGAGATTGATGAGGTCGGTGCCGTGCAAGGGGGCAGGAATGGCAGCATCTGCTTATTAGTCTAAGATAAAACTCTGTGGGCCTGAGAGGACGGGCTTCATCCATTAACCAGCCGAGCACTCAGCCAGATGGCCCGGTCCACGGCCATCCACTGCTGCCGGGAGGAGAGGAGCCATAGCACCTCCATCTATATAAACGTGCCAGAAAGTTAATGCGCGGCATTCATCACAGGCCTCTTCAAACGGTGCCACAGTTCAGCCACTTCCAACGACGCATATGTCAAGGCTTGTGGTGTATTTCAGACATGTTGTGGGCTTTTTTGGTGACTAATCTTTGCTTTTCTAGCAAAAACCTAGAAGTAAATTAAAAGTAGGTCTCACTGGGGGCTGCACCTGTGGTAATTTGGTACTTTTCTATTTCCCAACTTCACCAGCCTTGACTGCAAAAGCATTATCACCCTACTTATGTAAGAAAACAGTTTGACAGTCTTAAGTGTGACGATGCCACTGGCGACTGACATTTTGCTTTAAATAGACTCCATTGTGTGAGGAAGTGAAGAAAATGTGTTGCCTTTCTTCACATGCTTTTTTTGTAGTTTGTCTCTGGTTTTGGTGAAAACATAAAACATATTGCTATTGTATGGGAAAAAGAACAGCTCTGTTTAGGTTTACTCTCCCTGTAATTGTTTGAGTGGTAATAGATGAACAACATATGTATGGTCAACAACATATAGTCACACTTTGACTTGTCACAGATGTTACAGAGCAGCATTAATCTGAAAGTCTTTTCTAATTTGTCACAGATAATCAAACAGAAAGTGACAGTAGCAGTTCAGGTGAGTACACTCATTATGGCCTTAGTCTGGTAAAAATCTGTTCAACCTTCTCATATGTGTCCCATTTATATCAATTGTCATCAAAGATACCACTGGAACATCCACTGAGGAGAGCTCAGAGGAGGACGAGGACGAAGAAGAGGAGGATTCTGGTGAGAGACTCACTTGCGGGTTGTTAAGCTACAGCTTGTACCAGAGAGTAATACATTTTCGCTTTGCGAAGTGGAGTAAAAAGAATGATTAACTTCTCATTGGGTTGATGATAAATATAAAGCCTCGACCCGCACGTTAGATTTTCCAGGTGTTTTCCAGGTCTTTGTTGGATCTTTAAGTAGAAATCGGTTCACCAGCACTTGTAGCTCATTAATCAACGAGTTGTGTGTTGTAGCCATACGCAAAAAGAGACACTAATATGACAAAAAATGTTTCTGTTGGATTAATGTTGTTTTTATGGATGTCAGAGCTACTTTGTTGGTTTATTTTGAGCTTCTGACATAACCACTGTGATGTCTGTGGTTTCGCTGAAGTCTAGGGAAATGTGTATGTGTATGTTTTTGAGAAGTCCACGTGTTCTTCGTCTTAAATGTTTTTACCCTCTTGTGGTACATTCCCAATTTGTCCAACTTGTGATATTAGCTGCGAGCTTTACAAACATTTTGAGTATATTTGACTCATCCTACGAAACTTAATATATGTTTGGATGGTCCCTCTTTTATACGCAAAAAGCAGTTTTACATCTTCCCCATTGGTGTACATTTATAGGATCCTGCTTGGCGATACCTTCACATATTCAAATTTACGTACAGACAAAGATTCATTACCATTTACAGACAAAATGTCTGTTTTCTCAGCTGTCTCACAGTAACCGATTAATTAGGTGTATTGAAAAAGGATATATCTTTTTCGTGCTTCTGACTTTCTACTCTTAAACTTTAAGCAGGGCGCTGTGCTGATGGGGAGGGGGAAGGTAAGAATTGTGCCCTTTATTCTGTTCAAACTCAGCTTAAAGTCTCACGATGTGCTTCAAACGCCGCTAAATTTAAGCATGAGCATTTATGTGCTTTTCGTTCTTTGCAGACGATGAAGAGGTCAATGCAGGGGAGTCTCAAAATGGTAGGCATTTGTTAGACCTGCAGCTCAGTTTGTGCTCACATGCAGACAGCCATGACTCTCTGCTAAACATATTGCTATAGTTACTCATACAAGTGGTCTCACTCCATAATTACCCACTGAGCTCAGTCTTGCACAGATTTTAGACAAGATTTCTGCCCCTCACCAGCTTTCGTTTTTAATGGGATCTATTGGGCCTGACTGTTTCCTGCTGTAGGGGGAGTCGATGGACCTGGAGCAGCTGCTGTCAACGGGGCTGGTGAGCAGGCCGTTACCGACGCGGAGCGGTGCTGTGGAGCCAGTGTCGCCTGTATTGTTAGTGATATTCTTTTGTCTTCTGACATCCTGACAGATGACAGGCTAAAATTCAGCTGTGAAAAATGCAAAGCCGCTCAGCAGGTGAGCTCAGCAACAGCACGTCTGTGTACCGAGTTTAAATCTTTAAAACGCGATGACTGATTCGGAGTAATTGTTTTTGGACATTCTGTGAACATAAACTGCTTCTTAGCGAAAGCACCTCTGTGGTGGTATAATCTGTGTGTGCTTTTGACAGACCCATGGCAATGAGCTGGTGACCCCCCGCAGGATCTCAAGGGGACGACTACAGTGAGTGCGACCTTCTGTCTCCATATGGGGGAATCATTCAGATTAATGGGCACCGAGTCCCACTCTTTGTGTGCTTCCGTGCGTGCGTTTCAGGGTGCAGCTGGAAGGAGAGGGGACGTACGAGTGTGCGGTCACCGGCCTGGTCTTCGAAGCCACCGAGCGCGTCCTGGTGCGGTACTCGGTCTTGTCTTGGTCCAAGTTCGGAGCGTTCCTGTGCGACTCCTGGAAATTCGCCGGGCCCATTTTCAACGTGGACACAGTCAACAAGGAGGCCTCCGTCCTCAAGTCCATCCAGTTCCCCCACTGCGTGTGCCTGGCTCGTAAGTGCCGTCGTCAGCATGTGACGTTTTGGCCTCAGCGTGGAACGTGACGCTTCATTTTGTCTCCGCTGTTTTCTCAAAGATCCAGAAGAAGACTTGAAATTCAGCGTCCTGCACATAAAGGATAACCGTCCACTCATCGAGCCCACAGCGGACCACTCGGGGAGCCACGTGAAGTGGAATGTGACCTCCCTGTCCCCGGTGGGTCCCATCATTCAGACCAGTCAGGCGGTGGAGCGCCACGGTGTGGTTCTGGTCTATAAGCAGCTGGGTGGGGACACCAACAGCTACAGCTTCCACGTCTACCTGGCAACCAACAGCGCCTCTGACATTAAGGTGAGAACCGTGTGCACCTCAGTGTCGCACACAAGGTGGTAAAACTCTCTGATTTTTTGTTCAAAATGGCTCCGTCACCTTCATTCGCAGCTTTAAAAACAAAATTCAAAATTCTTTGGGAATTTAGGTCAGATTTTTTTCAAAGTTTCTCAAGTTTCAGGATCCTGTTTCCTTTTTTATCTGCAGCACCTGATGAATGCAATCATCTTTCGGCTCTTTAATCTCCAAAAAATCCGTACACATCTTTGCTCTGAGTCAAGAAAATAAACCTGGCTTTTTCTTGGAGGTCTTGGGCTTTGTGCTCAAAATTTCAGTATCTGTTCCTGTGCAGTCACGATGACAAACGGCACAGCGAACAGTGTCAAAGGAAAGTGTGTGTTCTTTCTGCTTAGCATATTAAAGGTTTAAGTTAAAAACTCTAAACCTAGAAAATGACAGAATTAGTATGGCTTGTTTGAAAGAGAAAAACAAATGAGAAAACGTATGCAACTATGTCCAGTGGATGGACCATGAACTCCTCTGTATACCAGAATATTCTGCAGTTAAATGTGAGACTATGTGTCACAAGTGCAATGATTCCAAACATGGTTAGAATCGAACCACTGATTGTGACATGAGGCACTATTGAGCACATGATTAGTAAATAATTTATAAAGGCATTTCCTTACAGTTTGACCCACCATCTTATGGCTTACCTCACAGTATGTGTGAGTGATGTTTGTAAACTGAGGAATTTTTCATTTGCTGTAGGAAGAGAAACAATAGAAAAAAAGGAAACTAAAATACCTTCCTTACAGGAGCAGGACAAATAAATATTCCACTCATAAGACTTTTTATTCAGGCATCATATTGGCTGGATAAAACTCCAGCAAAATACCTCACCATTGAAACTTTGGTGGAAAAATCGGGGAGGAAACGGAGCCCTAATCGAGCTTTCACTTTTTGTTTGTTTCTCAAGCAGCAGCAGCCACTTTGATGCGGTCAGAGTTCACAGACACTGATCGTTGTATTACTATTCTCATAAAAGGTCCCGTGATGTGTTTTACGGTATTGCTCAGCAGAGGGTGGGGGCAAATCGAACCAGACGTTTTGAGCGCATCCCGTACGTCTGACTGCTACCTGACAGGAAACCATACACCACTGAAAAAGCTCAGGAAGTGTGATTGTCGCTGTGTGAGCATGTGTGCTTGGTACGCAGCTATGAAGAATCATACTGTGTGTATTATAACTCACCAGAAGAAAAAGCCTTATTTCCACATGCTGTGATTATTTTCTCCAATCACCCATAATACACAAGTGTCCTGCAGTAGGTTAACCAAACCTTTCCACCAAAGATACTCTCAGTTAAGTCATTTTCTGTGTCATTGTCGTTGCCAAGAAACTAACCTCTTATTTCCACTTGTCTTCTTCTTGTTTTGCTGTAAATCAGGATATAGGCAAACAGGTGCGTGCCTACAAGAATCGTTACATTAAGATAGATAAACCTCCCACATGTAAACTGGATGAGGGGACATATCGTCTCCTCAGTGAGCCGGAAGGAGAAATCAAACCTCAGGTGGGTCTTTGTTGCCATTTAGACCCAACATTATGCACACAAAAAATGACAACAAAGATGACTTGTTGTGAGCCATTATAAATGATCATCATGCCATGTAATCTCCTGATATGACTACACCGCTGGATTTTGTTTCTGTTTGCAGGATTTGAAGTTCACCTTGGCAGTGACCAAGATGAAAGGGTACTTTGAAGCTTTCTTCGAGCAACCTCCTCCTTTTAAATTGTCTCTAATAGAGATCAACACTGAAGAGAGCGTGTGGTCCGCCACCATTAGAGAAGGTATTTGTGCAATTTGTATCCCAATTAACAGTATCCCCGAAGGTGTTTATCTAAATAATGATAATTTTCCTTTAAAGAATTGCACTTTCATCACACGCATTTTTAGTTTTTGATACCTCAGATCCAAACAGTGAACATAGTTAATGTCTTTTAAGAGGAGAAAAGTAGCGATGTGGACATTCAAGATCACCAGATCTTAGGGGGTAACTAAGACCTATCTGGTGCTTTTGGGGCACACCCACAGAAGTTGTATGACTATTCGCCAATGAGTAAAAGCAGTTATTGTTTCCAAATGACAGCTTATGTTAATACAAATATTTAAAGAGGCGTTTCCATTACTTAATTCAACATTTGTAACTTAGTAATTCATAATTCATAAGTCATTTTTAGGTGGGCTGGAAGAAGCTATTTCTTGCGTTATGTTTACTTAATCTGACATCTTCAGTCTATTCTTCTATTGTGGGGGAGTCAGGAAGCAACCAGTGTGTATTTCTGTTGTTTGTTTTTTTAAAGTGAATACATAGACCAAATGAATATTATTCACAGGGCTGTGTCTAAAGATTCTGTCCCTTAGAAGCCCGACTTGAAGTTTTCAGTCTCTGTCTTTTTGTTGCTGTTTACTGGCAGTTAAATTAAATCAAATAATTGCTTGTGTTAGTTTATGGTTATTTTCTGATGATGTCCATCTTTTGCTGCTCTCTCAGGTGACTGTGTGGATAACACGGAAAAGAAGCCAAGAAAGACGACAATCTGTATGCTTCTTATTTTTTAAATAGTTTTTAATCAGAAACTAATTCTTCATCTTCAGAAAGACTCTCATACCAATGTCTGTTGTTCAGCAGGCAGAAAGAGGAGCAGCAGCCCATCGGAGGAAGAAATGGGCTTTAAAAGACCCCGGTGGCAGGACGAGTCAGGTGACCTGCCTTGGCTTTTGACCACTGCTTTCAGAGGAACTTCAGACGCAGCTTTGTTGAATTACCGAGCTAACGTATCTGTTCCGAAGTCAGCTAAAATCAAGCCCCTGTTTTCGGTTGTGTATTTTTCCACAGATGGCGTGAAAGCTCAGGACCAGGATATGTCAGAGAAGCAGCTACTGCAGGTGGCAAAGAAGCTCGGACACGAGTGGAAGCAGGTGGCCATCTGCCTGGACTTGAACTTCAAGGAGCTGGAGGACATCCAGGCAGCGGAGAAAGATGTGACCATGCAGAAGCTGAAGATGCTGGTGAGCTGGAAGAGCAGAAGGCCGCCGGGAGAGGCAACAGCATACCACTTAAAGAAGAGTGTGGAGGAACTGGATGACCTACCAAATGAGGTTCATCAGACACTGCAAGGTATAATACAATACATAAAAAAGAAACGATGAAGGCGTGTTTGGATAAGGTTTGGAATTTTTTAAGGTGCTGTTTGCAGAAAACCAATGATGTTGTCTTCATCAATAACTTGCTGATGAGAATAGGGCCAGCGCATGTAATCAGAAAATACCCCAGATGGAACTTTTTCCAGGGCCCCGTAGCACAGTAGTACAGGTGCAGCAGGTAGTGGTTCAAACAAATGATTCCACTTCTTTTTCTTGTGTCTTTTTTCAGATATAATCAACTATTGTAAAGGGAAGTGAATGGGATGAACTGTTGGACATCTATCGCACCATTAAATGGAAGCAACAACTCTCAAGGGGTCGGAAAAGCAGACTGGACCTGTCGGCCAAACTTCAGCTATTCTCTCAGTTTGCGCCCTCAGACTTGAATGGATGGGCATTAATGGCTAAGTATAGCCAGTTGGGGTCCTTTGATTCTGTAGCAAGTACAGATTGTGAAAGCTACGTGGAATTTCATTTCTGTGTGAGCAGGTTTAAGAATAACTTGTCGAGTTGACAGAATTGTTTCGCAGCTAATTATGTAGCAGGTGACCAATGTAAAGGCAGGTGCTGCAAATGCATTAATCAGGAAAAAACCAGTCCATGTATATTGTTTCACTTTTAGATATTATGTTTTGGGAAAGTTTTTACATAAAAAAAATTAGATGCAGGGTCACATGTGTGTGACTGTCAAAGTTTTACGGACTGAATTATGGAACTTTATGGGTGTCTATATTGACCTGCACATTTTTTTAAAAACAAACTTTCTCAGACTTATAGTTTTATTTTTTTAAGTCATTGATGTCTGTTTTTGTCTGTCTGTGCTTTATTTGATAATTATGACTCTGTAAAAGTAAATGATCTTGCAAGGAGTCCAAAATTTTGTTTGTATAGTTGAACTTGAACCAGGGCTTTCTGAGACCAAAACGCACAGCTTGTGGTTGTAAATATTAAACTGCGTTTTGTATGTTTCAGATAGGTCCGCTGTAAAAATAAGATCCACTTTTGGCTTCAAAGCTACATTTTTCTATATTTGTTTATGCTGTGTACAAGAGAGAAGTATCTTTTCAATGCTTATTTTTCAGACGTATAAATGTTAAGATTTGATAAAGAAACTCACGGTTTGACATAATAATGTTCTGGGACATGTCAACACTATTTTGGGGAAAATGACATAATAATATCCAGAACACTGAAACATTTAGGTTTTTCCCCTGTGGATATTATGTTTACATCCAGAAGCAGTTAGCTGACTGAAAGAGTTTACTACCAATGGTTTTGTCCGTCCCTTTTGCTCTCGGTTTTGTCAGGGCGTTTTCCCTCCAAAGACTTCTGGAAATGAAGCAAAGTCAACTGTGGACTGAATAAAACAGTATAAAATGTCCAGAATCTGTCTTTTAAATCTTTCTTCTGAATCAGATATATCAAGGCTGACAGACAACAAGCTGGCAAAATGGGCTGGACTTCCCTGATTAATTTTGAATGTAAGCAACAGGCCCGACTGAGTTTTCAGCAATCCAGATAGTAAAAATATGAGTTGAGCAGTTATTGCGAGAAAGCCCCCCCCCCCCCCCCCCCAAACAGCACTCCAACATTGAAACCCACTCACATTAGAAAGTCTGGGCAGTAAAAATAGCCAATGTGAAGACTCATTGATGACTAATTCTTGGGCAGAAACAAGTAAGACATTACCCACAAAGCTTTGGTTGCCACTCACTGTTAACTTGGCTTCAGAGATGAGCAAGTTACTTCTGATATGTGTCACGATACACCTATGATAGTGCCCCTTGCATAAAGATTGTTTTTGTTTTCTCAGAATCTTTGAATCCCAATTAGTTCTGTAAATGATCAGAATCCTAAATTGTTCAAAGTTCTACAGTATGTAAATGGGGCCTCTTTACTTCCGACACAGTCCCTGAGGGCCTCCGTCTGTACTCACATATGTGACAGATGCTTATTATTTTTATCTTACTTTTCTTATCAAGGATGTAGAATTTTGCAGTCTTTTATTTACTATCATTCTAGCTTTTGGTGGAGGATGTTTTAAAGTGTTTTAGTTGTAGGTTCACAAAAAAGAAGAATCAACTTCAGGTCATGATACTACAAATACTTTATTATAAATATAAATAAATAACATCACAGGCCATCAAATAAATATATCCGAGAAATAAATAGATCTTAAATAAATAAATACATTCCCCCAAATATTGGAATACATTCATAAACTGAGCCAACGTGGCTTCCTTCCTAATCTGTGACAGTTTTATTGACTCTGGAGTCAATAAAGTTAGCTTATATCTGAGCAGCCAACAGATTTGCACACAGCTGCTCGTTCTGACGACAGCGAATGGTTGTTAGGACTTGGTAAGTTGTGATGACTTTAAGGGGAAAAGACATTGGAAATGATATTGTAGTAATGGTGATGGTGGATGAGGTTTTGGGGCTTTTACTTCCGGTGGTCTCCTGAGGAGATGTAGCCCATAGCTCTGTTGAAGGTGATGGTGCGGGCATGAAAGCCTCTCATCATCTTACACATCTTCTTGCGGTTTTCGAAGGAGTTTTTTTCCCACATGGTGGAAGCATCATCCTGACAGACAAAACAGAAAACAACGTGAACACTCAGGGATACCTGCCAGCTCTGTGGCAAAGCCTTTCGCATGAGTAAAGAAAAAAATATTCTCCATCCATATTTGAAAGCAATGTTTTGATATCAGTTTTCCTTTCAGAAACTGAAAGCAGAGGTATAAATAGAGCATCAACACAAAGGAGGAAGAGAAAACTACCTCTGTGGAGTAGTTCCCTCCATCCGACATCAGAGAGCAGTTCTGTGCAAACCAAGGAAGATTTTGTCAGGCAACTACCAAATGTTATTTCCCAGGTGATTCTCTAAGCAGGACTCGTTTCACTCACAGAAAATGGTTACCATTCTCACATATAAAATAAGTAAATGAACCCACCTTCCTAAGGTTCTGTATGATTCCCAGAGTCGGGCTCAGGAGGGGATCTTCTATTTCGGGACGGTAATACGAGGACTTGAGGTAGTGCTGAATTGCAGAATCATAAAAGGCCAGGTCTCTGAAGATGCTCTGCACACATTCGCTCTGTCAAGGAAAAAGAACCAAACACTTGTAAATGCAAAAAAAAGAGAAATACTCTGTGACAACATGAATCTGTAACAACAGCATACCTCATTGAAGGATGATTTTGTTTGCATCAGGCAACCAGAGTTCTGTAGGGAAAGTACATTTTTAACAGTTAGAGATGTGTTGAGTGATATGTTTTTCATATAAGATGTGGCAACTGCATACATCTCAAGATTATACATCAATCAAATACATAGTTTTTATCAGCAAAAGTTCCTACAAAAGTTGCTACATTTCACACAAGAAATACAGTACACACACTTACAGTAAGCTTTAAAATTTGCTTTATCCCCCTTTTTAAGTGAACGTGATTCAAATACAATTTTAAGAGATAGACAGACTTTTTTGAAGAATCAATTATGTAACAAATAGATTTTAAAAAGCCACCTGAGTCAGAATGGGCGCGCAGGCCTGAACAGTATTCCCGTTTAGCACCGTCAGTTCGTTGGATGAAATCAAGCCGTGGCACAAGTCCTTCTGCCATGGAAAGCAACGTCAAACAATGGAAGTGTGAGAAACATGAATCAAGAAAATAAGAAAAAGAGATAAAGTACAAAAAGGTAACTCACGCTCTTCAGAAGTTCGGTGATGTTCAGCAGGAGTCCCCTGAAGAGCCCTGCGCACTGCGCGCTGCTCTCTGCGCTCCCGGACGGCACCGGCAGCCCCGTGGACGCGCGCCAGCTCAGCGCCACGAGCAGCAGACAGCTGCCGAAGTCTGCATGGCAAAAAAAAGAACAACCATTAACTTCACACACACATTTCCACTACTGATGTCCAGCTCGCATTACAAAATTCCAATAAACGCAATGTAAAATGGTAAACCAGGCGCCTCTCCGATAACTCTGTATGCACTCCCGTGTCTTGAACTTACAGAAGTTTAGGTTCGACATGTTTCCGGCCCAACAGAGATCTTTGATCAGTCTCTAACAATGTGATGCTGCTTCATTCCTACCGAAGGATTTATAAGTCTGCAGAGGGAGATTCCCTCCCTCTGCAGACACATGCTAGAGGAGTAAAACTGTAACGTCATGTGTAATTTCCTTGATCTTCCAGAAAAAAAAAAGAAAACAAAGAATGAAAAAAAAAATTGGGAACTCCTGATAAATGTCGGATATTCTGAATCAGGCTTCTGTGGTAAAATGTAGTCATAATCTTATGGAGTGGGTGTCATTTCAATTGGCGCTTTTGTGGGTTTTGAATTAGGTCGATCATTCACCGAAATAAGTAAACGAACCTATACCAAAGTCAAAAGCAATGAAGCAGCTTATGTACATCACCTAAAACCAACCCAGAGAGAGGGATTTTTTTGTAGTTGCTCCCGAACATTAAACCAATACGAATCCAGACAATGCGTTTAGAAGTCGAAAGTATTTCTTTCCACCTTCTCACGAAGGTGTGGTGGGAACTCTGGCTGGCGCAGTCACGCAACAATGTTTGGTGCGTCCTTCAACAGCACCCGGAGAGGGATTTGAAAGAAAAAGGCAACGATGATAACTGACAATAATAACAATCATAAAAGAACAGTCAAAAAAGATAAAACTGTCCCTAATAAGTTATCAAGAAACTTGTAATAAACTGAGACACTTCTTTTTATATCTATGTCAGTTTTGACAAGTGTCAAACATAAGATAATGATGAACTGATAAATAAACCAAACAACAACTCAGTCTTAAGATGTCACATACGGTAATGATCATTAATGTGACTAAAAATACAAGCTCTTAAGGGGAGACTTTGCCTAATTTATGATTACTCTTTACTGGATATTGTTCTTATAATAGCTTGCCTTATGACGTAATTAAATAACACTCTTATTTGCATGACTTTCACTACCATCATCCTCATCAGGAAGTCAGAAAAGACTTGTCAGAAAAGATGTAAGTGCTTCTCAAAGATAGTTGTTTAAACCACACAACAGATAGTATTAGCAGATGGTTTTCCTTTTTTAGAATTGATGTACTTTCATTTCCATTTAGTCTTTCAGTATTTAAGGAATGTGCAACATGTAACATACTTGTTAATAGAATGCTCATTAAATCATGACTTCACTTCCCTCGTGAACAAGTTTTCACATCTGTTTAGTATATTTTCTCAGGAGTGGCACACTCTTAAACTGCTGTGGTGGGTGCGTGATATTTCAGGCCTTTTTCTGTCACCATCACAGGATAATCAAATACTGACATGCAGCCTCGATTTCTAAGTGCGCTATATGCCAGGTACATTACTGAGAAGAGAGAAATAAACTGTACTCATCACCAATCATTCAGATGCATTTCTGTATATTTTTGCCCATACTCAAAGTAGCTATTCACTAAATTCCACAAAATCTTTTACAACAATAAATTCCTGGTTAAGACTTTGGTTTAAAGGGGTTGCCCAATTTAATTAGTTGTGCTTCTGAGAGCAGCAATCAAGCCCCAATGAGAAACAGATGATGAGGCAAGACCGAAACAGCAGGAGCTGAGTCACTTCACATAAAGTAATATTTTTCATTCTCACTGGAGTTGTGGTCTGTACACTTCTTGAGTATTAGAAAGAGGAAGTTGCCTCTTTGAAGTAAGGGCCTGTGGTGCAGACGACATATGTGTATAGCCAGCACAAACTTCACAATAAAAAAACAGCGTATATGAAACAAAGTTTATTCCTTATTTTACATGTCTGTACATAAACATTTTTTCCCTCAAATAAAGTATCTGAATACAATAGGATGAAAACAATATTAACACATTTATTCATTTAAAATGACTCGTGTCAGAAAATCAACATTCACAAAATGCTGAGGAGCAATTAGAGTGAACGTATTACCAAAATCTACAACTCCACTACAAGGCAGGCATGTTTCCTTTACACTCTTTTAGCACCTTCAAATAAACATTTCTCAGTTGAAAACTACCATTTGTGCAGAATAAAAACGGGTCGACTTTGAGATACTTTAAAGTTACTGTCCAACTTAAAATGGTCTGAAGAAGTTAGTTTTCCATTGTTTTTTTTTAGACACTGTTGTTTCTTTTTTCTTTACGGACTTTCTACTAAATTTCACTATTATTTTATTTTTTCCCCCACAATTTTTGCATTTGAACAGTTATAATTTAGTGGCAAATGTAGAAAGTTAAAAAGAAACAATAGCAAAGCAAGGCCGATCACTGCACAGGAAGCTGGGGACAGAATCCATGACAACACACAATCAGTTCCTTCTTCTCCCAGGAAGCAGGAAGTGCTACTCCTTCCTTAGTACAGGGAGAAGCAGATGAAAGAGGGTGGCTTTCCTCTGTGCAGCTGCTACCACTGAAGTCAGTGAGTTGGACAGGAGGGTAAAGACAAGAAGAGAGGAAAGCAGCGAGGACCAAAATACTTAGGACAAGCAGGAAGAATTTGACACAAGGCAGAGGTGGAATGGCTGGCGGGGAAAAGGTCGGTATGGACGAGGGGTTAAGCTTGGCAGAGGGAGGCGGAGTGGATAGGGATGGGCATCTTATTTGGATAGGGTCCTCTCAGCCAAATGTTTCTGCTGGCTCTCGGCATGCCTGGGAACGAGAAAAGTGAAAATCAAAGTCATTTAAAGGATTCATTTCTACATCCCCTCCCCAAAATAGCAAACAACTGGCCCTATATAGAAAGTTAACATTAAAGTACAATCAACCTATTTTGTCTAAAAATTATATATAAAAACAAATCAGAGAGCCACTCAGTTGTTTTGGTGCACATTCACTAATGGATGCCTTTACATGAGAGTCATTCCTGTCGTCTCATGACCCTATATGTCCCAAATTTAAAGCTTTATTTGAGCAATTTTCCACTGGACGACTACTAGTTCCACATAACTGAGAATAAGAAAAATACTTAATCAAGCAAGGGGCTGGAGAAAGGAATAAATCATCAAAACAGTCAGTAGTGATAATTAACATGAAAAAAGTTTTGTACAGAGTTATTACTGTGGGAGGGAATGGCCTGGATCATTAAGCTGAGGAAGCATACAAGTCTATTAAGACTTCAGGCTAGTGTTAATCAAACAGAATAAAGAGCAGCCATGGTTTAATTCCATAAACCGTCATGAGGAAGGAAAGCTTGAAAAAATGAGAGCAGTTCTTGTTAGGTGTTTTTCAAGACAGGTTAGCAACTGACATCACAGCAGGGGGGACTGCTGTCACGCACAGCTGGCAGCCTGCGAGCTCCTATAAACTGTCTTGTGTCGTTAATATTAAAGGCACCTTCATGTGTTATAATGGAAAGAAAGACTGCTTTGTTAAGGCCAAATACACAGACAGAGTACCGTAACATAGACATATTGACTATATAATACTAAAGATAGTCCCAACCACATAAAATGTTTACTCCGTTCTGATTGGATGGCGAAAGGGGAATGCCACTGACTCCACAGGATAGTGTTTTACTGGATATATGAGAATACGTGTATAAAGACTATTGTGGCTGCAGAGGGAACTGTGAGAAATCTTACGACTGAAGGAGTTTAGGGTTTTTTGGTGGTGATGTATTTAATACATTTTCCTCCTTATTTTTTATATTATGCATTGTGAAACTGAAAAAATGTGTGATAAAGACGAAAAAAGTCAGAGAATTATTGTTGAGAAATCAGGGAAAGTTTTTCAAAGACAGCTTGCACGCTCGGAAATATAAACAAATGTTTTCCATATTTCATTTTTGAAAGAATTTTTTAATCTACAGTTACTCCTGTATTCAAAACACAAAGGTTGACACAGTGAATAATTTCCCAGTGAGCCTCTCATCACCTGGTGAGGTCTTCTATGTCAACCAGCATGGCGTCTTGCTCCATGTGTAGTTCATCACGAATCAGCAGCAACTGTACAAGCTCCTCATTCAGACCTGCGGTGGTAAAGAGTACAAAGAAGACAGATGTATTGCTATGACACAGCAACTATTTCAAATTTAACAGTACGAAAACACTTCAAACACCATATTAGCCACGGAGCTGCTTTTCAAATTGTCGATTATGAGAAAATGTGACTAAACGATGCCTCGGTGTCCCACAGTGCTTAAAACATGACCTCAGAGTCATTGAAACCACCAAGACTGACTGTCAGAGCACACAATAGTGACTTGTGGTAGTTTTTGCCACCACAATATTTTAGATGTTGCTCCTTCACCTTAGCCAGACAACAGCTTGGGGTTTTGGACTCATGGGGATTTTTTGGAAATGTTGAATGTAAAGCGCAGAATTATTCATCCACCAGTTGCAGGATCAATAACGTGTACAGAGCGGTACCAGTAAATGCGAAGGGGAAGCTGTTAATTGGTAAAGCACACTGAGATGACTAATGTATATAAAGAGCTTTCACATCCACTGAAAAGGATAAGGGTCAGTATGCATGTGCATGTGTTTCCCCATTAGTTCTCTTCCTCATTTTTGCAAAATAAGTGTGTGCGTGGTCAACTCACTCTCTATCTGGGAGTGCAGGTCATTTACTATAACCTGGAGCTGGCCCAAAGTCATGTCTCTCAAGTCGGTGGGCTTCAGACTTCTTTTCATAAGACACTCGCTGATATGAGGCATGTGTGGAAGCTGTTGGGAAAAGAAAACAAAGGCAAAGGTGTTAAATATGACGCTTTCTTAATTTGAGACCAGAAATACACAGAAATAACCAATTTGGCTTTATAATATTGCTTGCAATTAAAGAAAAATATATGTTGAGACTGAATGCCTTTGACACTGAAAAATGTTTTATCATCAAATCAAATTTATGGAAAAATATGAACATTACAAGTTGAAATCTGATTTTTTTCAGAAATATATTCATACAATAGTCATGTGTTTCAGTTCAGCAAAACTGTCTTTCTCTGCCTCAAGATCATCACATGAGAGTTTCTCTCGCATTCCTCACCACTTTCTGATGACTTATGAAAATGTATTAATTCTTACCAAAAATACCAATTTGAATATTGTTTAAATAAGCAATTCCACAACTGTGAAGCAGATTAAAAGATGTTAAAAAGCATCAGATAGACAAACAAAGGCCGTCTTGGTTCACTAACAGTACACTGCAGTATTTGTATGGTCTTATTCAATGCTTTTTAGTCTCATTGTTCCCCGTCGAAACAAAAGGGAATATCTCTCCTTTAGGTCTTTACCATTTGATGTGCTCGGACAGTAAACTTAGGGGATTCCATGTGGACTCCTGTTAAGTCATAAACAGGTTACAAACATCCTAAACAAATCTTTGAATTTTTGCAGCCCAGTATAATGATTTATCTGACTTTGTATCTCATCTTACATTTCCAATAGAGCTGCCACTGAACAGAACACCTTTAATACTCTTGTATTAAACAGAAAATCCCACTCATTGACAGCAGCGCTGCCATCTGTGAGAGAGATTTAATGTGAAACCTAAAATCGAGCAAAAGTTACTTTAGTTCAATGGAAATGTGACATTAAGTGAGAAATGAATCTATTAACTATTGAAAGCCTAAATTTACTAGTAAAGACTCATTCAACAGGAAAATAGAAAATTGGCAACAACACTTTTTGATTGGTGCTGCTAAAGGACAGCTTATCAAAGAAGCTGAATTTACACTGAGTCTGTGTTATCTTTAGCTTTTCTTCTGTGAAAAGTAGATACATTCAATTATGATGAAAAACCAAGTAAATAGGTTTAACGTGTAAGAACTACTGATTTCATACTCCAGGTTAAGCTTTGAAAAAGACCAACTGAAGAAGAAATGTTTTGGACGAAAGGGGGAAGGATGAGTATGTTTATTGAGATGACTGTTAATTAAGACAGATGAGCTGACGAGGGCATCATTAAGAATACAGACATATTTTCGTTTACTGTTGGGATATGCGGACAGAGGGGTAAGAAAAAAGGAGGAGAAATTGCTGGGCAGTACTCTGCAGTTACCGAAATCCAACTGTTAATGTTGGATTTCTGCTAGTTTCTTCTGAGTATTTACAAACCATAGAATAGGGCAAATAATGAAGGTAACAATCAGAAAAATGTCAAATTCAGATTTCTAGTTATACATGGTTGAAAGATCATTCCACCTTGAGCAGCCATAGTAAAATCTTGACACAACACATGACTGATGAAAACAAAAAGATAACAGTCTCACAATAGCAAACAGTACCAAAACAGTTTTTAACATCTGTGGGAATCTTTTAGATGTAACTTACAAGCCGTTACCATAACACACACGTGCAGTCCAGGTAATTTATTTCTAATATTTGTGTGGTACAAGCACTAGTGGAAAGATGAGAGAGAGTCAGCAAATGAATAAAGATGAACCTTTAGAACTATAAATAATAAAATAATTAACTAAAAACTTGTCTTTTAAACTTTACTTTGTAAAGGATTTCAATTCAGTTGTGTTTAAAGTTGTTTTAAAAAACAAACAAACAAACAAAAAATAATTTACCAGCTCCTCTGCTAATGTTTCATATTACAGACGACCTCGCAATGTAGCTGCACTAGTGTGGAAGAGCCAAAGGTGCTTTTTCTGACAATACAGGGACAGATATTTGCTTGGTTTTGGTATAACAGCTATCAAAGTAATTTTGTTCCTCCTATTTTTCCCTTTTAGTCTTACCAAACGCTGGGAGAATATACACTCTTTCTCTTTGGACATTTCTGTGCATGTGTGTATTGAGATATAGTTTCCCACCACGCTTTCACTTTCACAATGAGCGCTGATGCAACTGTCTATGAGACAGTCATGTGTCAGTTTCAGTTTCACGATACTGAACGCCTACAAGTAGGCGGAATAAGAGTGACATAACGAGAACTGTGAGGTCATAGCAAATGTGTGAGTGATGGGAAAGGCTGCACATTTAACTCAACTGGTGACTGCAGTGTGAGTTTCTCTGGCAGAGTAATCACACACCTTCTTGAAAATAACCATCTGAGCGCTCAATACCAACAAGCCAATCTTCAGCTATGACTAGCTCTGACAGTGAGGAACTGAATTAAGCTCGGGGGAAAAATTTGAGGTCTTACTGTGTAAGCTGAGTGTCTGCCCCTTTTGTCTCTCACTTTATTTCATAGATATGGTTTTTAGGTTCAGGAAAACCCGAATCGTCCAAAGGAAGAGTGACAGCTGGATGTAAGGTTACCGTGCTGGACCGATTCCAATTAATTGCCTTTGCGGATTTGGCAGGAAAATCCTGTGAGTTGGAACTGGACATGCAGAAGTCTAAATGCAGGGTGAAAGAGGGGAGTGTCTCCCCAACCTTCACTGTCTGATGTAACCTCCAACTCGATTACCAAATGAGCTCAAGTGTATATGCACGATAGTTAAGTAATATTTAGCTGTTTGCCAATTGCCCACCACCAATCGGCCACCATTAATTATTTTTTGTTCATTTTCCATTTGTGTATATAACAAAGAGGGTAGTATTATCCTTTTTTGTCTTTTTCAAAAAATCTAAAACAGCAGAGGAACCCTGAGTTTCAACCCATATGTATCCATATTTGAGAATATTGTTCCATAAAGCATAAAGCATGTCACAACCGTTCTTTAATAGATTTCTATAGAGTACAGCAGGCAGCTTTAAATGCAATACTTCTTAACATTCACAGCGTGCTCAGTGCGAATGTGACAGTGATGGCTTCTGACTGCCGAGCACTTGTACATCCCTAAATACTAAAGTCAATGCTTTGAATTATAGATGGGCGTGCTTGAGCTGCTCGTCTCTACTCTGAATAGGTAAAACAGTTCTGCCTGCAAGTCCAGCTGCAAATATAATTTCAGATGCTGAGACACTCCAAATGTGTGAGCGTCTCTTGGTGTGTGTGGTCTCCTGAGGAAGCGGCAGATGGAAGATATGAAATAATGATAAACCTGTTTGTCACCACCTACTTCCCCCTAAAAGGGCCCGACAAAAAAGGTCACAGGAGAAGACCATAAGGGGCTTTCAACTAGTACCAACTCAGTGTGTCTTTATCTTGCCTAACTAGATTTATTTGCATCTCTATTCAAAAAGTTACTTTTTTAGCACTTAAGTGAGCTAAGTCTGGCAACTGTTCTACTATTGGAACACCGATTGGCCAGTGAGTCACGTGACCAGATGACTCATTAAAGCAGCTCCTTCACTATTTTAAAAATGCAGCGACAACAACCGATAGATTAAGTTATTTCTGTGAGCATCAACGTTGTAAATGCCTAATAGTCGAACCAACAACATGGCCCTGTGCCCAGGTTCAGCCAGTATATCGTCGTCAAAATGTCCTCCATGTTGTCTTGTGCTTGGGCTTGTGAGGCGATTATAGCTAGTAGGTATGAAAGAAAAAGCACCATATGATTTTGATGATACCTTACTGTGTCTGTGTGTCTCCACATTGGTAACAGAGTAAGGTGAAAAGGGAAAAATGGAATTTGCTGCATATCAATGACAGAAAGTCTCCTTCTTTGTTATAAGCATAAGTGCTCAGAGACACTGATGCAGCCTACACATGGTAATGAACTTATCAGTGACTGATTTTAGAATAGATAGGCTCCAGCCCCCCTGCTGCCCATTGGGAATAATCACTATAGAAAATGGATGGATGGATGATTTAGAATAAAGAGAAACATCATTAGATATACTGTGATGTGTACTTAAAGATTCTGAGATCATGTGGCTGTTTATACTGAATACTATACTATTATACTATACCTCAGAGCTTCCACACCTTCTGATGTGGACAAAATGAGCTCTTAACCTTCTGCTTTTTGCCAGAAAATAGTTTGTGAATTAGTATTTTTGAACTTACTAAAAAAGAATGTTTTTGGTTTTCAGTTTAATGTAAAGTTCCTTAATTTAAGTGTATATTAATATGACTGAATCCTTATTCAGACAACTAAACATGTCTGATTTTACCCTACTCCAGCTAATATATAGATTTTTTATCTAACTATTCAAGTAACATAAATGCAAAGTCTCTCAGAAGTAAATTCTGCAACGATTTAATGTACAATTATCTTCAACAGAGAGAGTCAGAAGGAACAGAGAATGTGGAATTTTTTCTTCTGCAGTCAATCAAACTGTAAATGTAGGTCAACTCAATTATACCCATATGACTGTGCTGGGCGTCCACAGCATTTCATAAAATACAGTCTGTGTTTTAACACCAAATGTCAATATACATAATGTAATTGTGTAATCGTGGCAATTGTCACATTTTTGTCAAACGTAACCTTAGAATTCTGTTACTAACCAGGTCGGCCACTGGGGACTTTTTACGATTCTGTTTCTCCACCTCCACCTGCATCTTGGCCATAGGCTTAGCCATAGCCAGGGCCAGCTTTGCCTCTGCCTGAAGCTTCTTCTGTCGACTCAGAAAGTCCATGTCCTCCAGAGACTCTGAGTCATCCTCGGTGGTGTCCCTGTCTGAGTAGGAGGAACTCTGCTTGGACTGTGGCACGGACGAGATGAAAACAGAAAGAGAGCCAAGGGGAGAATATTTAGTAAAACAGAAAATAGAAACAAGGAAACAGAGGTAAGGAGAGAGGATAACAAAAACACATTCTTGCCTTCTTTGTTATTTTGTGAGCAAGTTTTGAGCAGTGACATCATTAAATACCAAGACATGAGGAGAATGATCATGAGAATGTACAGACATTCTAGTGTTCCCTCAGTAAACACATGTATACAGAAACTACAGTTCTCTCTGATTCATAATGTGCGTCTTGAATGTTTTACAGCTTTCGCGCTTGCTCTGTTTGAATTTTCTGATCTTTATGACTGTCGCACAGTCAATTTCACAGTTTTAACAGCTACTTAATGGCTGAAGTTTAACATTTCCCAAGCCTTTAAAATAACTCCATGTGGGATTGGGTGCGTACCATAGGGGACAGAGGTGTGTCCAGACTAGTCTCTGTTTTGCTGTCGTCCGCATCGCTGTCCTTGTCGCTGCCACTGTCGTTGACAAAACAGATCTGTAGGTTCATGCCGCTCTGCAGCCTGCAGGGACACGCAGAGAACACGGGGATAAACACAGAGCAGTAATATAAGCATAACTGCTGTTAGGTGTCAGCTCGGTTCAGCTCAGCCGACAGCCGTGTCAACAGCACTAAGACACACAAGATTTGACGGGTTCAGTACAGCATTCAGAGCGACGCTAACAAACACAAGGTGTCGCACTGTTGCCACAAGACGCACAAAAGACACAAGCTGCTGCTGCCATTACCGGAGCTAAACGCTAACTGAGGGTAATATTACAGGGGGGCTTGTGCTTTTAATCATCTTTGCGTTTGTCTTCAGTGTGGATCGATCCAGGAGGCCTGGCGCAATCTGCCTGTGTCCAGAAGGGGTGTGTTTGGGTCGTGAAAGAGCAGAATATCACTAGGGTGTGGATCCATTCCACTGTTGATCGATAATCTGCTTATTCAGAGCAGTAATTACAAACAGAGCTGATTGATTAGACTGCAAACATCCATTCGGGTCCACTTAAAATAGGACCTGAGTGGTCGATTGTTGTTTCTAAGGAGGCGGTAACAAATTGCCCCCTGTAACTCAAATTGAATAGTTTGTCAGAGTCATGAAAAAGTCAAATGGCTACTTTTGACGACCAAAAGATGACGAACTGTATTTGCAGAGCGGAGCCTGACAAATCAGCAAGTCTTTAGTGTCTTCCTGAGAGTAGTACCAGGATTAATCTCAAAATCTTCAGCATAATATATATCATCACAGCTCCTTCAAAGCAATTTTGAGCTTTGAATCGGAATTTAGCCATATTTTCTTTTTTATCTAAATATAGCAGCATTATCAGGCATGAATACCTTGTGAGGCTCATGTCTGGCTTACTCACACTCCCATTTTCTGTGTCCTATCATTCCTGCTTCTATACAAACAGAGTTTTCTTATAAAAACTATTCAGATATATATTTGGATGAGATCCGTACTATGATGTACTGTCTTGTGACAGCTCTTTGTACTGAATACCCTTTAGAACATCCTCATTCAGAGAAGTATCAGACCACAAGAAGAAGAAAAAAACTTGAAGAAAAACAAAAACTTGTCTTTTCACGTGTATCGATCACATGGTTTGCTGTGGTAAGGTATGTGTCAAAAGTGGGACGTCTCACCGTGAGGAAAGGCTGGGTTTACCGCTCTTGCTGCAGCTTGTGTAGAGGCCGGGGCCATCGTCAAAGAAACTGCCCAGCGCCAACTTTTGCCTGATAGATTCCCTCTCATTCTTCTGGGCCTGTAAAAGCACATGAACATGAGGATACTTTAATGTCAGCTCTTCGATGATTGACACTATGGAAAGAGGACAGGTAACTGTTGAAGTACCAGCAATGAAACATCTTCCTTAATAAAGTTTATGCACGCCATAACAGCATTTCCCCACCGGACAAGATACGTGTAGATGTAGAATGTAGTGTCGCAACAAGCTCATTTTGCCAGTAAAATTCATTGCTGCAAGCATATTCTGAGCAGCAAGCCTTGTCTTAATTTGCATTAAGCAAGCCCTGACAGAAAGTGTGGAGTCAGCTGATGAACTGGAAAAAAAAGTGTGAACTATCTTGGTGGAAATCGCCACAAGATTCAATTACCGGCATTCACCAGCAGGCTATGCTGTTGCCTCATCCAACAGCTGGTGACCGCGGGCACACCGAGCTGGCTTCTTCATGCAAGATTCATAGATTAGTTTTACATATGCAACACCAGAGCAAAAGCTCTTTTGCTCTTTTAGGAAAGACTCCAAAATCACAAAGGTCCACCTTCACAAAACCCAGTTGTGTCGGTGCGCGGGCAGTGTGAGACTCCAAAAAATCTCTGGTTTATAAGAATCAGTTAGGACAGAAGGGAAAAAAAAATCTCATATGATTCCTCATCCTCATTGTCTTATGAATCTTACAGGCAGGTGATGGATACTGAAGTCACATGACATCTATTAGAGAGAATAGATATTTTAAGATAACTGCCAAATATCTGTGAAATCTCTCTTTACCTTTAAACCAAAGAACACTTAACAAAATAAGGTAAGAAGATGCTGGCAAGGAAAGAAATGTCCATGGTGATAGCTTGGAGGGTCATTCCTATGGCTCCCCTCTTTCTGGGGCTTCTTTTCACTGATCTGGATTCTATACTGTCAGAGTCCCAAAAATACGAATGAGGAATGGAGGGGTTCGTTCTATTCGCTTTGCACATTATGCCTGCAAGTGGTGCCCACAGCTGTGGACTGGGCTCATACATTTGGAAACCATAGCCACGTAGACAGCCCACAAGGGGAGCATCTGGCCTGGAAGCCGCAGCCTTCAATGGATTCCTGTTTTAGTGAACGAGAGTCTTTTCATCTATTGTGCCTGGTGTCTCTACCGTCCTCCAATGCTGGGGAGTGGTGCAACACCTGCTCATAACCAGTAAAAAGTCTGCAGCTCACATGGGAACACCTGATGAATAGCTGCCCTGAGAATGCGCCCAGAACAATTTGTTCTGTCAATGCCATGGGTGCATGTGGTATACTAAGAACCATTCCTTCCTTCTAACTCCCTTTTTTCAGCAGCTTTCCTCACATTGGCATTCTGTTTAATTGTAAATGATCCAGTCGCACCACTTGTATAACACATTATTTGTCTTTCTTGCTCCTTATCACGCTCAACATCCACTTCTCTCCATCATCCTTAAACCTCTCCTGTTTCTTCAATCAGGAAGTCACAACGTCATTTATCCTCCTCTTTCGTCAAATAGCTCATTACACCTTCACCTCCCTCCTACTCCTTTTTCTTAGTCTTTCCCTCCCTTCACAATTGTGTGCCGGCATTGGTGTGAGTGCCTTTACGAAGGGCAAATTAACATAATCCCACTCTACACAAGAGCCAGAAAGATGCCCTTGGCACTGCAAGCACAAACATGCACACAGACACACACACACTGGGTGTGTTTAGGAGTGGATCTTCTAGCATCACTCCTTTGTGCCTCTGTTTAAAAGAATGGGTGACTAATCAAAATGCAAACACTTGAAAGTCTCAGTTCACTGCCTTAAAGGTGCAACAGGAGCCTGTGCGGTTCAGCGCAGGTCAAACACATTTCTTTACAAAGCCATCACTCATATATTGACTGCAGAAATCTGTCAGTCAGGTCACTCCGCTAAACAATGACGTTGAGCAAAATGAAAACCAGAAACCGTAGGGGTTCACCTGAGCATTCCTGACTGTCTGCTCTCCACTTAGGGTCATGTCTGAGCAAAGACATGAGGAAAGGCTGGCTAAAATCAAACAGAACATTCAGGAAGCTACTGCATATGGCATCAAGCTCGCCTACAATTTTTCTAAACACCTTTTAAACCTACAATTAGCTAATGCAGGTTCTCACAGGTGATGCTACGACAGCTGGAGATGAGACCTGGAGCTGTGAAGTCTTCATTAACCAGTGAATATAAGCTACAAACATGACTGTTCTGACAACGACAACAAATAAAAACACTGTAAATGCACATTTCTTTTTTTCATATTAAAAAGTAATAACATTTTTCAGGGTTTCCTTCTCATTAGCATACACTCCCTTTCAGATAACGAGCCTCATCTCAAAAGAGCGAAAGTTGTGTTATCTTGTTTTCATGAATATTCCAAGAAAGCCTTGAAAGAATTTCCGGAAATGTGACATTTCAGTCCATTTTAACTAAAGAATAAACAGAGGATGATGATTGTAAAAGGTTACACTGACCTCCCAAGACAAGTATTTGGTCACAATTCAGAACTTTTTGCAGAATATGACAAAACGAAAGACCCACTGTGATTACAAGATGACAGGGTTTTACTAAATTGTTAAATTAAAAGGCTGTTGAATTACATTTCTGGAAGTAATGAAACATAATGATCATTCGTATAAATAAAAAAAGTCTTCGTTTTTTAAAACAGTAATTCCACATTTTCTTTATGCCACGTGGACTATTTTTAAATAGATTTATGGTTCATCTTGTTTTGAGAGAAGGTTCGGGTTGTAGCTGACCATGTACGATTTATAAAGCAATAAAAAAAAAAGACAGTAAGCAATGGATAATTATCTGAACAAGTTATTGGGTTCATCTCTCCAGCCCTTGCAGCTGGACCAACAAGTCATAAATTATGTCTGCGTTTCACACCTGCCAGACATCACAACGTCCTGTCTGAACAGAAACATTGCTTGTTACATAGCTTGTTTGTCTTCTGTGCTTGTATGTGTGTGGCAAATGAGAGGTCATCACAGCCCCATAAAACACTTAAAAAGCTGTGGAATGTGCCGTCGAGAGGTGGGGGTGTAAATGCACCACCTGTAACGGAAAACCTGCTAAAAAACAAGCCTGCAGGCTTGTTTCCTTGTTTTCTCATTACATTTAGCTCTCCTTAGACTGTATCAAATACATCATATTAATTTCATCCATTGCTTCTTTGGAAATATATAGATTTTTGGAACCCCGTCAAGAAAGTGTGTATCAGTTTCTGGGACCTGGTAGGCTAGTTGGAAATAGAAACCATCTCAAATGGCTTTCAAATGCTAATTGGCAGCACATTGCATCCACAGTGGTCGGCTGAACTCACTATCATAGAAAAAACGAGCAACTTAAGGATAACAGTCCCTTTTCCTCCCCTCTTTTCATCTGTATTGTGGCACTGTGGTTATTTTCCCTTGTCACTATTACATACTGTAACCAGTTAAATTCACCTTCCCATTTCCACCTCCTCCAAGAAATTACTTTAAAGACGGATGTCAGTAAATCAGAAAAACACAAGCTGCTCTGGAAAATGATCCAAATTTCTGTTTTCAAATTTGGAACACTGCTAGAAAACTGAACAAAATGCCAAATCTGTGGCATTTACATTTACAGACACATTTGGGAAATAAAAAGAGAATGAGTGACAGCTTAAGCACCTCCTTCAGTTCCTGGCCTTGAGGACATGAGCTGTCCAAATTAGATTTGGGGAAAATACAATTGGGGTAATTTGTGTTTTTCCACAAAATCACTAAGCAATTTCCTCATGTTGAAAAACCCTCATTGACAAAGACATTTTCGCCTCCACTCTGCACAACGACCATTCATCCACAGGCCAAGTGGATGATTTAGCTCTGCCAATGGGGGACCGAATGCTTGTTTAGAGTATCCAAATCTTCCCTCAACATCTATATTGGGGATGGGGGATGAATTGAATTATCTGTGCTAACAAAGCATCCTCCCACTAAATTGCTGGCCAAAAAACAGTTTTGTGGTTGAATTTGAGACGCGTATGAACACGGCTGTGTGTGCTTGCTTATTATGGCTCGAACATTACTTTCATTCGCTGTTCTCTGATTAAAATGAATCTCCTGCTTGTGTACTATTATTTCTGTATGTTGTGCTTTTTTCTACACAATGGAGTCTTTTCAACAATTTAGACTGCACCCACTTGATACAAGAGTCTAGGCCTTATAAAACAGATGGGTCTCTGTTTCTCCTGTGTGAGTGTTACATCTGACTGTGGGGCGCACTTTCACAGGTCTGACATTACTTACAATTCTCTGTCCCTCCATGTAAAAGAGTAGGTTGCAGCGTTGGGAAACGCAGACACTCTTTGTCATTATGATAGGAAGAAAGTATGGAAAACTGTCATAGGTGCGTGAGTGGAACATGAAGGTGTAGTAAAAAAGGAAAGCCTGGAAACTCTGCACAGTGCCTGCATATCCACTTGAAAACATGTTTGAAGCTCAACATAGCACAAACGACTGCCTGGGCTGGTTGTTTCAGTTGTTTTCAGTTGTTTTTTTGAAGCATCTATTCATAAGATATCCATTGAGTCTACAAAATATCATTGGAGGCTAAAAATGGATGCAGGTTTCTGTGTGCCTGCCTCTCTCTTTATTATCTCACTTTGCTATCTGAGACCTGTCTTTCTATTCTGTGCTGCATTCCATCCCAGATAAGGGACTTGACCTTTGGCCCTGCTTACAGTTCAGCTGCAGGTCAGTGCAAGACTGCTCCTGTCACTCAACACAGAACAGAATAGCTCAACGAGTGGTAAAAGTGTTTATATGAATGTGAATGTAAGGGGGGAGAAGAAAAACAGTGCGGTTTTAGGTGAGGGGAGGCTATGGTGGAAATAAGAGGGACAAAATAAAGGGTAAAGAGGTGAGAAGAAACATGAACTGGGTGTGAAAAGGAGAATGGGATGAAGATTCACTGTGAGAAGACGTGACAATTGTCTGAGGGTTCTATTTTTTCTCCCAAAAAATAAAGCAGATTTAAATACAAAGCCTGGTTCCTTATCGTGTTTTGTCATAGCACTGCCTTCATATATGTGTATTATTTGATGCTTCAATGTAGTTTTTGCCACAACAACAACACGCAAAAGTCTCATAAAGGGACAGTTTTGAACAAATCATCTATAATTCAAACAAAACGATACACACAGACAGCTGTCTCGCGTCTCATTCATTAAGCTTATGTGTTTGTAAAGTGAATGATGGTAGAGCAGTTTGCTGTTAAATTGAGCTTTTGCTTTTCCATTTGTAGCTGCATATTAAACAGATGAGCGATATTAGTGTGCATGCAACACTGCAGACAGTCAGAGAGAGAAGCATCAAATGAGAAGAGTGACATACATAAACCGACCTATTCCAGTTTGTGACATGCTGAATCTACTCTAAAATTCAATTTTAGGATATCATTTTTGATAAAAGGAAAAAATGGAAACAAAATGGGATTTTTTTGATGCAGGTAAAAAAAACAACTAAAACTAAAAACTAAACAACACAGAAACGTGATATGGTCCTTTACCTCTTTGTAGTCATCACTGAGGTAGAGGCCAGACGCTTGGCTGATGACATCATCTAGTCCACCACATCTATCCATTTTATCCAGATCTTCCCTCATCCCCCCCCTCCTGCTCCTGTCTTTTCCTTTCTACTTCCCAGTCACGGCTTAAGTTTGTCCAGGCCGACTCCTGAGGTTGAACCCAGTCATTGTGCATCATAATCCCACACAAGTCACCAGTACCATCATTTGACACTAAAGCAAAAACTCTACCCCGCCACTGTTGGCCTCTCCTCGTCTTTATCTAACATGTTTTGACAGTGTTTCTCTTTCCCTGCACTTTCTGACTACTCCACTCGCCCCGCGGTCTTCCTGCCTCTCTAACAGGACGGAGGAAGCACAATGGTCAGAGGTAAGGCCCCGCTGGACCCTCCCCACCTTCCACCCACCGGTCTCAGTGGCCTCTCAAAATCCAGGGAGAGAGAGGAGAGAGAAACTAACACTTGTGGGTTTTTCCAGTTTCACGCCCTGGCGTGAGGACAGCAGCTGCTCACCACCGGTTTGAAAAGAGACACCTCAGCAGTGGGATACAGATCGGTCCAGTGTGTGTGTGTGTGTGTGTGTGTGTCTACGGGAGGCCGGACCATGTGTATTTACACTGTGCGATCCTTTACAGTCTTATTCTCACTCTATACAACCTGTACTGAAATAGCTAAAGATAGATACAACTAGCAAAAATAACCCCTGTTATTTATGCAAGGGTTAATATGAACGTGGTTATGAAAATGCAACAGAGAATGACGTCTCCTCCCTTCCTGCTAAGGTAAAAATAGTGCCTCGTCTGGACACCAAAGCCGGCCGCCCCACAGGCCCAGCCAGCTAAATAAACCCTGACAGAGCACAAAGGACCATTAGTCTGGTTCACAAACACACAGCCGGTCATTCACGCAGTCACACACACACAGGGATTGGTTGTGCTTTGTATCAGTGACTTACATTTTCAATCTGAGCTCTCCGCGGTGTGTAATGATCTCATCTTTACGAGACGTTATTGAGCCGTGACTCATATATTTGTCATAGCCGCACCAACAGAAAATGATGTCCTCATATGGCTGGAGATGCACACTGCAGGCAGACACAGCTTCACACTAATACACGCTGAGTGCTGGTTACACAGGAAAAAAATGGCACGACTAGCTGAAACTTGGAAAACCATCAGAATAATTTTTAAAGCCGAAATGAAGTCAGCTGAAGAGGTGACAATTAGATGGGTTTTTCATCAGCAAAGCAGCAAACCAAAAACCACAAATGGATGCAATTTTAGTCTATGTCTGTTAAAGGGAAAAATAAACTATTTGTAAATATACATGTTAAAGTGAAGTATATTTTATAATTATTGTTCTTTTTTGGCTTGCACATTAAAATAGCTGGTCAGATTTTCCAGCACAAGGCCTCTGTTAAGCAATGATCGTTCTTAAATTGCAGTTTAATTATATATCTCCTGACCACTGATTGAGCATCCACTTGTTAGTCCTTTGCCAAATTTTTAAAATCTCCTTTTAGTCTTCAGTCTACAGCGTCAGGATGCTACAGCAAGTAATAATTTAAAACCCTTAAACTTAAAAAAACAACTAAGCCCTAAAAACTTGGCAGAATAAGATGAGAGCTGAGAGGGTGGCCAGACTAAATTGTTTCCATTAAAATACTACCCAGTCTCTATAGGAGAATGTTTCTTCTTCTTCGTGCCTATTCTGGCGCCCCAAATATGGCATCAGAAACTAACAAACACACATAAAGCATCTATACTGGTCTTGTATAAGGACAGGAAGTGCCGCGCACCAAGCATGACCATAATCAGCGCAAAGCTTGTTTCAAGCCTTTTTCTTTATTGAACCGTCAAGAAACAACCTGCAGACACAGTCAGATGATGGATCACACTAAATTGTAAGACTATAAGGGGGACGTGGATCTCAGATAAGGAATGAAAAAGCTAGTCAAGGACAAAAGTGGGAAAGAGGGATGAAAAGAGAGAGAGATGAGATAGAGGAGAACAGCCAGTGAAACTGATGAACATGAGTCACACTCATCTGTTTCTCTGCTCACAGACAAGATGAGAATAACATGAGAAAAAAAAAAGGGGAATCAAAGATTAATTCAGCTGGGGAACAATGCAATTGCTTGATAACATCAAAAAGCTTTTACGCATATGCTCACACACGCACGCACACACACACACACATGCATACACAAGGGTTAAGTGGAAAAATAGGAAGTCGTTATGATTCAGTGTTGATCCCTATGGATTATGGGCAGTGTACAGGGAATTGTCTGGCTGTCCCCTGAATGTTCCGCCACTGGGTTACTGCTGGAGATAAAATGAGCAACGCCCATAGATAAACACATACACACACACGCACACACACAAAAGCCAATAAAATCTGTGTGTTTGCGAGCAGTTGGGCGGGGCACAGTCCTCCTCACTGGATCTCTGCCTCATTACTGAGGATGACTTCACGATGAAGGTGAGGTCACAGCTGATTCAAAACGAGGTTTGGAGGAAGGGCTCGGCACCTAGTTTACGTATGAACGGGAGGACGATATGACAATGATGTCAAGATTTACCAACACACACACATCTGCACACTGCCTGAATCACAGTTCAAGGGCAAGAATGGCCTGCATGCTTCAGACACACAAATGTGCACACACACGCAGGTTAATCGCATGGTGCTGATGATGTCCTGATTGTCGGGTCAGCTGAGAGCAAGCATAAAAGTGACACACACACACACATACACAGAGGGGCTTATTGTTCCAAGTGAACAGAGGGTGACTGTGGGAGAAGGTTCCTGGCACCTCCTATAAGCCTGGCATCCAAGGCCAATGGCGCTTTGTGCGTTTGCGTATTTGTTCAGCTATCTTTGTGAGGACACGTTTCAGACCTTGACAGCGAGGATATTTTGGTTACTCAAAAGGCTGTTTGAAGATAAAACTTGGTTCCTGTTGTACAGAGTGAAGTATGTGTATTTGAGCATTTGTCTGGTAAAATGGACTGATTTATGACACCTGCTCAGTTTTTGTTGACTCCAGATATCCACCCACTGCTCCTTCGAATCCACTGGTATGCTCATGTGACATTATAATACCAGATTACATGCAGAGAAGGATTTTGGAAGAAACAGCAAAGATACATGCTCATCTGATCTTATTTTGGAACGAAGAGGGAAAAATGGGGGCTGCTACCATAGCAACCTGGAGAGAATTTCTCCATGGTGATGCTCCATGTTCCAAACAAATTGGGCTGTGAAAGGAGCACAGGGTGGCCCATCGGGAAGTCCGCTTACTCACACTAAGGCCAGTGTTTAAGGCAGCCTCGGTAAATTGGGTCATATTGGGACAAAGATAATGTCATTTTGACTGACAAAGAGACACATTGCGCACATTGAGATCAAATGCAGATGAATCCATGTGTGCAATCTTTTAAAACTTCTGGGTAAGGAACTTTTCCGACAATGTGGAGTACCAAGTGGTAGAAAAATAATCAGAATACATTCTTGCTGCAGACATATATAAGTAACTTAGCATTACACCTTTTTACAAGGGACAGAGCCAATTTAGCTTTTTAAAAAATGGCATGGTAATAGATGGATTGATAAAACTATAACAATAGCTACAATGTTTTAAATAATTTCCCTCTGGGATTATTAAAGTATTTCTGATTCTGATTCTGATTCTGATTCTATTTCTTACTATTTGCTTATTGCCTAAACCAAACCAAGGAAATGACAGAAATTGGAAGTAACGCATTTTGCTTACTTGCAACCATCCATCAAAATGGAAAGTACAAACAATAGGTTGACAGGGTTGGTTTACATCTTTTTCAAATGTCCTCCAATCCTACCTCCAACTGCTTTTATAGGGATTTTGGCTTTAATTAAGAAAGTCTTTAGCTGATTACAGAAATAGGTGGAAATTATAATGCTTTGGGTTTGTGTGTTTTGCTATTTACGAAACAAAATCTGAACTTGTGGTTTTTCTGGATGCAAGTTGAATTCACAAGCTAGCAAACTGCCGTCTCAGTAATTCCATACTACACTGGCCAGGTTCGATCGATTATGTAATTTGAGCATCATCCATCAGTGGAATAAACTCTATCCACCCCTGCCCTAATTTATAATTCATCAAGCCACACCTCATATAAAGTTACACCCCTAGTGGAGCTTTCCCTGAATCCCCTCCATCAAGCTGCATAAGCTTGTGAACACATACACATAACATAAATACACAGAAATCCTAACACCCAAACACTGTGTTTGACAGGATTCAGCATTCAGCACTCAGTCCCTGAGGCCTTGGCAGGCTGACAGCGCCGTGCAGGCCCAGGATGACACACTGTGGCCAAGCTGATAAATCTCACCATCACCCCTCACCCTGCTGAGATTACTGCTGCTGCTGACAGCAATAGGGCTCAGGGAGATTTATAGATTTACACGAAACCCCCCATATTGAGAGCAACTACCCCAGCAAACACACCAAGGTGCTGCATGATTTTTGTCTCATTATGAATTTGATGAGGCATCAAGATTATTATTATTTTTCTTCTTAAATTACATTAGTTGATTTGGTAAACTGCCTGAATTGGATAGACATTTTTTTGTATCTGCGGATAAGTGTTTTCTAATTGTTAGCCTGTGACAGAAATAGTGAATGCTATTGGACAAACAAGGGATTAATGGGGGTGTCTTTGTTTCTGTCTGCTTTTATTCCTATGATTTGTTTCCCTTTTTGTTTAACTTTATGAATAGCGAAGTAAAGAAATAGATCATTATCAAATCACATAGAAATGAAAAGAAACAATTGTGAGAACCAAAACATGTCATGAGAGATTGTCCCTGGAGACGGACAGAGAAACAGGGAAAACATGTCCCTCAGCCTCTTTCTTTTTCAACGTTGCCTCGTCACTTCTCAACCATTGTATTTCTTCATTAAACTAATTCCCTCTTTTCTTTTTCCCCACTGCCCTTTGCGCTGCTCCATCCTTGAGTGGGTGTGTGTTATATAAATGTGAGGGGCGCTGTCTGCCAGCCGGTTGCCTGGAAACCGCTCTAATTGAGGGGCCT